CAATGGTGGTTCTGGTGCTGAGCTTGTGGTATCGTATCTTCCCATCTCTCCAACCACTTAAACAGAATCTATTAGGAATCCAGGGTCACTAACATTGATGACAGCTGTTCTTGGCAAGGGCTGGGGACCAGAGGATCGGCTTCCTATCAGGCAGGGACCCCCTGCTAGCTATGAGTGCTCAGCCATACCACAGAGCACACAATTTGAAACAGACTGTCAAGTCATGTGTACAGGAAAAAAAAAGTTTATTTTCCTTAGGAGAAGCTCACACATTATATACAATACACATGGACCAAAAAAAAAGTGCATTATTCGTCTTCTACCATAAATTCACAGTACAAAAGATACTGCCTCTTAAATATATATAAGTAAAAAAAAAAAGACCAGAAGGAAATTGATGAATATTGATACCATAACAGGAGCAATGCTTGCTGACAGCTTTCTTTTGGTTACTTACTCATCCCTTTGGAAAAGTCAGGTGGTATAATTAGCCTAGGCTTGGGTGGAAGTGGGAGGTGGTTGGTGGTAGACTGGTTGACCTTCATGGACACACTCCCAAAGACCAACAGAAAGGGAAATAAAGGCTGGCTCAGATAATAACAAAGGAAGAATAAAATGGTATATGTGTGAGTTGGGGGAGAGAGGGCTGGGCAAAGTACCAGGCTATAGTTATGATGTCCTGCAGAGGTCAGTCAGCCCCCACTTGTCCAATGACCTCCAGGCACCACAGAAGGAGCCCTAGACTAGGACTCTGCAGGCTAGAGTTCTAGCCTTGACTGAGCACATACTGGCAGTGTGATCTCAGCCAAGCCATTAAACAGACCCTGAATCGGAGACCTCCAGTCCAACCTCTACCTGAAACAACCCACACCTCTGCCCAAACTAGGAGGCTGGACAAGGTGGCTTTCAAGGATCCAAAGGACCCTACATGAGGAATCTAGAAATGAAACATTACCGTGCCTGTCAACTTGTCTCACTAGCAGTGAGTACTGGTGCCCTCTGGCAAATGTCATTTTGAATCTTCTGAGCTCCAGAGACAGGTCTTTGGAATTTCCAGCCCATACAGACACGCACACATGTACGTACACCCCTAATTCAGTGGAGGAAGAGGAGAAATGCAAAGATGGAGCCATGACACGGCCAATGTCCAAACAGCGGGCTGCCCCCAGAAACTGAAAAAGCCATCACCTATAGGATCAGTGAAGTGGAAGAGCTTAGCATAAATACACAGTATTTGTAAAGTATCATTAAGGCACTCAATTGTAAAAACTATAATTACAGTACAAGGAGGGAGGGAGGGGAGACAGCTCTTCTCATGCAGCGAGGCTAAGAAACCACCAAGCAGGGGAGGGACAGAGGAGGAAGGACTCATCTAGTTAGGGACACTCCTTTTAAAGATGCCATGCCAGAGGCTGGACCTGAACACTCTACTTTACAAAAGTTGAAAATGAAAACCCTACAAAAACCCATATTTCCAAAGGACAGAGAGTCACAACATGGTATCACTAGAGATCTTTCAGGGTGATGTGTGTGGGAGAGATCAGCATGTGGGTGGAGCAGATGGTGAAAAATTACTGGGTTCGAATTGTCTCTATATTCATATGTATATATATGTGTGTATATATATATATATATATAGGTATGTATATGTATATCTACACATCTGTGGGGTAAACCCACACCTACTCGTGCACACACACACACATAGTCACCAGAAGGACAGATGACTAAAAAACACACGGTTGGACATGGGGGATCTAGCAGCATCATTTGGCATGCGCTGGATGGCCAAAGCATCCATGGTGTGATGAGGAGACTGCCTAACTCTATTTTGGCTGGCAAGAGCCCACCAATGGTTGAGATCTGTCTCTGTTTCTCTAGGGAGAGGTCAATGTCTCCAGGCTGGGCTGCAGGGGTCAAGAGTGGGATCTGACACAGAGGCACTGCTGTACTTTTTTCTACAAAGAGTATTTTGCTCTGTGTGTGTTTATGTTGATTACGACAAATTACCAGAGTAATTAGTGCTGTGGCATGTAAAGAGCGGACAAGATGGTCAGTGCTCATCCTACAATGAGATGCAAGCACGAGAGGGAGGCAATTTAAAAATTTTTTCTTTTCAGGGAGATGGGGATATGTCCTATTGCCTTGTCTGCAGGAAAAGCTGAGTGGACTGAGGCTGAGAATGAGAGCTGGAAGTTGCAAGGGATGGTGGAGAAAGCAGGCAGCGAGTCCAAGTATTGGAACATGATTTCACTGATAACTTGGCCTCTCCAGAGCTCCTTCCCACCCCTGAGTCTGCGCGCTGCCCCTGATTCTGTGCTGAGAACAGGGGCAGCTGCAGGTCAGGAAGGAGGACGCAACTGACCCATCCTTGAAAAGGAATGCAACTGGGGAAACTGAGGCAAGTGAGTGGCATTGTAGAGGTCAGAATGAAGAAATGAAAGCCTACGTCTGCCAAAGGAAGGCAAAGCTGGTCCCCAATATCCAATGTGAGTTCTTCCTCATCCCCAGAGCTCTCCAAAGCTTTACAGTGAGCCAGAGAAGGGAACCCCAAATATATTGGCAATATGCATAGGACCACAGATTTAGGTCTGGATGGGAACCCACAAGATCTTCTAGTCCCACCCCCTCCTTTTACAGATGAGGGACTGATGCTGAGGGAAGTGACTTATTCAAGGTCACACACCCAGTGAATACAGGCAGGATTTGAACCCAGGTCCTCTGACTCCCAAATCAGGGCCCTCAAATTTTACCAATGGATATCATGCGGTTTGAACAATAGTAACCCTGAGAGAAGATGGAGCTTGCCCAAGAGATGAGCTGAACTCAGCTGTTTCCAGCCCATTCAGTTTTTTTTTCCTTTTTTGACACAGGTTTATCCGAAGGAGGCCTTGGGGACGCTAGCCCAGGTCAGTGCTTAATCTACGCCTTCTCGTCTCTGCTCTGTTAATGCTAAACAGGCTCCCCCCTCCCCAGCCCACCCCTTTCTCTGGATGGTGCGAAGCTTTCAAGTCCCTCACTTTGCTCTCACCCAGAAGACCCGAGAGGAAGTAGCAAGACATCAGTTCCATCTCTAGCCTGGGTGCCAGGTTCACAGATGCTGAGGTCAGTGTCCTTGAGGTGTTGGCTCCAAACGGGCAGCGATGTCCGCACAGAGTAAGGGGACCCACAGACAACAGCCTTCTTCCTTTAACAGTAGAGCAGCTACACAGCTCTCCCACTGAACGCCTTTGGACAATAACTCACTCTCACCCACAGGGCCATGGATGGAGAACAAATTTCCCATCACTCCCTTTTTCTAAAGACTATTTTAACCTGAAAATCATTCTACTCTCAGAAGTAATTTGGTAAAATTACTTAGAACAGTCTTATTCTTATTATTTTTTGGCTGATGGAGGGAAAAAAAAACATCTATGGGGGTTTCAAGAGGGCACACTACAGTGAATGGAGGCTCAGATTCAGATTCAGGAAGATGTAGGTTCGAGTCCATTGACACCAACTAGCCCTGTGACCATGAGCCAGGTACTTCACCTCTCAATGTCAACCAACTCTTTTGAGGCTTGAACTTGCATGGTTGCCAGTGGGAAGAGCTTCTATGGGTGGAGGTCCCTGAACCGATAAAATCACTAGTCAGGACTAAATATAAGGGGAAGATGGGAAAAGTGGAAATTTGGGGAGGGGGGGAAATGGATGTTTTAAAAATAAGATGGGGATGGGAAGGTCCTAGAGGTCATAGCTCAAGTCAAGTTGAAGAATTAGCTATTCCTGCCATTAGCCATCCCAGCATGCCACACTTTCTGTCTAGATTAGACACTTTCTTGTAGACTTTGTGCCTTTCTAACATAGGATAGTAAAAGAATAATAGAAGTAGAACAGAAATAGAAAATTGGGGCAGATAGGTGGCACAGTGGATAGAGTGCCAGGCCAGAATCAGGAAGACCTGAGTTCAAATCCAGCCTGACACTTACTAGCTGTGTGACCCTGCTCGAGCCACTTCATCCTGTTTGCCTTAGTTTTCTCACCTGTAAAATGAAGTAGAGAAGGAAATGGCAAACTACTGTATCTTTGTCAAGAAAAAAACAAATGGGGTCATGAAGAGCCAGACACAGTGAAACAAAAAAAGAAATGAAATAAGAGAAGCAGAAAGTTAGAATCATGGTGTTTTGGAAGGAGCAGAGGATTGGAAAGTAAGGGCTAGAAGGGACTTCAGAAAACATCTACTCAAACATCTTCATTCTACGGCCAAGGGGGAAGTAACTTACTCAAGGTCATACAGGCAGTAAAGAGCAGAGCAGAGATGGGCACTTGGGTCCTTTCCTTTTTTCACTCTCCTAAGATCACTGAGTTCAGGGGCTCTTAACTGCGGGTATGAACTTGTTTTTAAAAATCTTGATAACTGTACTAAAACAAAATTGGCATCTTTTGTAATCCTATGCATTGCAGGGCTGGGTGGAGAACCCCAGAATGGCAGGCTCCCAAGCCAGAGCAGGTGCCTTTGGGGTGATGGCTCCCTTGGCCCTCCAATCTCCTTTATTTTATGAAAGTTTCCAGATTCCTGGCCCAGGGCAAAAATGTCATTATGGAAAATCTCCAATGCAGGAGCTCCCTTCACCCACCCTGCAGCCCGTTCAACACAAAGCCAAGACAATGGGTGAAAAGTTTGCAGAGGGGGAGGCTCTGGGCAGGGGGAGCAGGCAAAGGGCCCAGGCATTCTTTCTTCAGTGATGCGCTTCCTTAAGAGGGTGGTGGGCAGGGCTGGGGCAGCGTAAGTGCCCCATGACTCTCAAGGTCTCTTAATAGGGCACATCTCTGAGCATTACTTGGCCACCTTCCTCCCTTAGGCTTAAGCTGGGAGCCTGCTTTCCTGATGAGACTTAGCTATTAAAGATCTCCCCTGCTCCATCTATAATCCCTTGGACCTTGGGCCTGAAGTCACTTCATTTTAGTCTGTGTTCCTGCCCCCAGTGCCCAACCTGAACCAGATCCCAGCAACTCAAAAATGGTTCTTCATCCATTTTTAATGAAGTGAGGTAGAGAGGAAAAAGAAAAAGAAGAGCATTAGAACTGAGGGATGGGAGAGAATTTAGAATTACAGAACATAGAAAGTTGGAGCTAGAAAGGCCATTAGAGAACGTCAGGGCTGGGAGGGGCCTCAGAACAGGGGATGTCAGGGCTGGGTGGGGCCTTAGCACAGGGAATGTCAGGGCTGGGAGGAGCCTTAGAACAGGGGATGTCAAGGGCTGGGAGGGGCTTTATAATCAGAGCCCTGCAATGCTGGACCACACTCCAGTGGGATAATGAATTAGAATCTAAGGATCTGGTTTCTGATCTCAAACCCGACCCCTGTGCCACTTTAAGTAAGATCTGAGCTTTACTATCCACCCCTACGGCCCTCACTATCAAGGGCCTTGGAATCACAGGAGCACAGGATTGGGGCCAGCAGAGCACAGAACCCTGGATCTGGAAGGGCCCTGAGAACACAGAACCCTGCATGTCAGAGACCAAGGGAGCAGAGGTCACTAATTCTACCCCCTCATTCTACAAGGACTCCTTTTGTGGCTGATAGGGAACATATGTAAACATCTCTGAAGTTCTTCAAGGAACTGCTCGTTTGTCTCAGAGAATCTGTTCCCAGATGCCCTGGGAGGAAACCATAAGAAATTCAAAAATGACCCACCAAAAAAAACCAAACCAAAACAAAACCCAAATAAAGGCCCCACAATTGCCTCCATCTACTCCTGATATGGGAAATCAGTGTGAACTGCTAACCCTGAGCTGCTGAATGCTAATGACCCAAGGCAGCAGAAGTGCCCCCAAGGACCTGGTGATATCAGGACAGATTATGAGATAGTATTTGTAAAGCACTTAGCCGAATGCCTGGTACAGAGTAGGTGCTTAATAAATGCTCGTCCCCTTCTCTCTCCCTTTCCTACCCTTGCAGATCGGTTAGGAAGGATGGAAACCCTCATGGAGGATGTAGGGGATGCAGCGGGGAGGGCTGGCCCTTTTCCTGAGGGTGGTATTTTCTTAGGTCTCCATGAAGAAACCACAGCAGGAAGACTGAGAAAACCTAGGATTCATCTGTCCACAGGACCCCTGATCCAGGGACACCAGAGTTTTCAAAACATGAAATTCCAAGACATTCAGATCAGTATAAGAAGAGAATTCAGGAGAGACCAGATGGTGGGATTCTTCACCTCCAAGCCTGGGTGGCCAGTGTTGACAGTGTTAGAAGGTGGCACCCATCCCCCTGCCCACCTACTCTTCTAAAAATACAACCTGCACGCCAGATGCTGCTCCTCAATGGGATCAAACCTGGCCAACCAATCTGGGCAATGCCCAGGCACCCCAGTACCCCACATCTTCCTTTCATTTTCTATCATCATTACTCTGAAACGTTGTGAGAGGTTCTGTCTCTAACATGATTTGGGGTACCAGAAAAACCACATTTTTTGCTTGTTTTGGAAAAGTCCCTTCTGATGTGGTCATTTTCAGGAACGAGCCTTGGGGGTTACCAGAATATTGTTTTTGTTTCTTTGTTTTTTAAACAAGAACAAAAACCCAAAATGAGACAAAAAACAAAATAACAAAACCCTGCCAGAACAGAGGTAGAAATGATGTCGCCCTAGAAGAGTCTTCCCACAAGAGCCCAAATGAGGTGGGGCTCCCTGTGGCCACCATAATGGGATCGCCATGATGGGATCACCATGATGGGATCACCGTGATTACTTTGCATTTCAGCAGGCTCTGGAACCCAGTGGGGTACTGATGAGTGATTTGCTTCTCCAATACCATCATTCTGGAAATGGACAGCCTGGGTATTTCAGTTGTGTGACCTGTAGGAAATTCCTGGATCTTCCAGACTATTCGGTGTCTACTAGTTTTCTTGTGCTATATATTTTGTTATTGATTCCCCACCCACGAACCCCTTCAGCTATGGCCTGAGAGAGGAGGAGGGAATCTTAAAATAATTTCAGTTTTAGATAATAAACCGAGATGTCAGGAGCTGACCACAAGAAATGGGGAGAACATGTGAAAATATGAGTCAGAGGGGCGGGGAGGAAGGCCGACAAAAGTCAGGGTCAGCTTCTGCCCATCCACGGGGCACTTGTCAAGCTTCCTGGAGAAGGCTTCCCGGACAATTTCAAGGTCATGGGTGGGTTCCTAGGGGCCGAATGGGGCTCCTGTGAGAAGGAGGATTCACTTAGCTGGGTGTCCTGGGAGTCCACAACGGTTGACATGTCTGCCTCGCTGGACAGATCTTCTGAGGAGAAGTTGAGGCTCCCGAGCTTGGCCAGGGAGTGGGAGCGTTTCAGCGGAGAGGAGACGGTTAAGCCGGCTAGCCGGAGGCGAGTTTCAATCTCCTGGGTCCGTTGCTTCACCAGGCCCGGCTTCCCTCGCACACTGTGGATGCTATCGCTGCTGGAGCTTCGCGTCAGATTGGAGCTCATGGAAGAGGAGGTGGGAGTGTAGCATATGGTCTTGAGAAAGTCTTTTGAGAAGCTGCTGGTGTGATCCAGCCGGTAGAGGAAGGAGGGCCCGGAGCTCTTCTGGGAGGCCCCTTCCAGAGGGAGGGCAGCCTCCAATTTCTCAGAGTCACCCCCCGCTTCGCCAGGGGAAGGAGGGCACGCTAAGGGGCATGCCCCGCCTTGGGGGGGAAGCAGCTCTTGGCATTCCTCGGGGATGCTGGCTTCCAGCCTGCTGCTGGTGAGGCTGTCTCGGAGCGGGGACGCGGCCTCGGCGGGGATCCCTTTCATGCGCTCCAACTCTTTGGTGTGCTTGCGGACCAAGCCCGCCTTCTGTAGCTGGATGATGGACTCCTGGTGCTGCATTAGGTAGCTGCTGGCCGTGGGCTTGGCCAACTCTTTACTGAACAAGAGGAGCCTCAGATCCTTGGTGGCCTTGGCCTCCTTCTTGGAGGCTGGGTCTTCTTTGACCACCTCCAGGCTAGGGAGGCTCTTTTCACAGTGAGAGTTCTTCAGGAGGCCTAGTGACTTTGCCAGGACTTTCTGAGATTCCTTGGGAGGGTCCGAGAGGCCGCCTGGAGGCTCCTCGGCAGGCTTGCCGCTGCTGCCAGCATCCAGTCTGCCGAAGGAAGCCGGGAGCAGGGCTGGGGAGCTCTCTCCAGGACTTGGAGAGGGTCTCTCCAGAAGCCGGGACTTGCTGGATGCTAGGTCCACTGGGGAAGGTGTGAGATGGGGCAGAAGGGAGGGCTGGGTACAGATGGCAGGGGAGCTGAGTTTCTCGCACTGTTCCCCGAAAGTCTCTGGTGCTGCCCTCGGGGTGGAGTACATACAGTCAGCGCAGGACTGGTAGGAAGGCTTCACTTTGTTAAGGATTCCAAATATGGCATCATGCTGGAAGGAAATAAAGCGCAGTGAGACAGGGCACGGGAACATCTGAACGGAGAACAAACGTGTTCAATCCTCTACCGAGCAGCAAAACGGAACTAGTTCCTAGCGAAGGGAAGGTGGGAAATTCTCACATCAGAGAGGCAGCCTGGCCAGTGGGCTGGACTGCAGCCTGGAAGACCCGCGTCCAAATTCTACCTCCTGACCCTCAGTTATTGTGTGACCCTGAGCATCCACTTTACCATCTGTAAAATGGGGACAATAATATCTGTGGTACTTCCCTCATGAGGCTGTCATGAGGCCCCAATCAATATAATAAGATACAAAGAAAGGGATGTCTCTGGAGTCCAAAGACCCAGGTTCAAAACCCACCTTTGCTACATATTAGCTGTATAACCCTGGACAAGTCACTTACTGTTGTAGGCCTGTTTCTTCAAATGGAAAATGGGAGATCTGGGCTTGATAATTTTGAAGATCCTCTCCAAGGCCCAATATAACCCAGAATGGTAGTTTTGAAGTCGGAAGGGACCTCAGCTAGAAATCATCTAGTCCAATCTCATTTTGCAGATAAAGGAAACTGAGTCAAAAAGAGATGATGTGACTTGGCCAAAGTCGTACAGGTAACATACAAAGCCAGGATATAAGCTCTGGCTCCAAATCCAGCAGGCTTTCCACTGCTCCAGCCCACCTTCCTTATTTTATTTCCTAAGGAGGGAGCCAGGTCCAATGGATAGAGGATTGAACTTAAAGCCAGCCTGGTGCAGAGGAAGTGGTTCTGGGGTCCCAGGGCCTGGGTTCAAATCCCACCTCAGATATGTACTAACTAGGTGACCCTGGGTAAGTCAGTTAACCACTCTGTGCCTCAGTTTCCTCAAATATAAAACTAGATGTCCTTAGAGGTTCCTTTAACCTCTAGATCCAGGACTGAACAGTTTCTTTGCCTCAGAGGTCTTTTCCAGCTCTGGGTCTATGAGCCTATGAAACCTGGGTTCAAATCCTGCTCCAGCCACTTACTAGCTGTATGACTCTAGGAAAGTTATCCAACTTATCTGACCTTCAGTTTTTACAACTGTAAAGTGGGGATAACATCAGTACCTACCTCAAAAGGTTACTGAAAGCATCAAAAGATAGGCACCAGGTAGTATAGTGATTAGTACTGAATTAAGAAAGGGTGGGGAAGGCTTTCTGTAGAAGGTGGGATTTTAGTTGGGACTTAAAGGAAGCTAGGAGGTGGTGAGAAGAGGGTGCTTTGTGGGCATTGGGGACAGCCTGAGATGACCAGAGCAGTCTTGTTCAAGGAACAGCCAGAGGTCGGCGTCACTGAATGCAAAAGTCCATGCTGGGAAGTGAGGTGTGAGAGGACTGGAAAGGTAGGAGGGGGCTGGGTTACGAAGGGCTTTGAAGGGCAAACATGCTGGAGGGGTTAGGAAGCTATTGGAGTTTATGGAGTGTGTGAGGGGGTGTGACATGATCAGACGTGAGCTTTAGGAAAATCACTTGAATGGCTAAATGGAGGATGGACTGGTGTGGGAGAAGACCTGAGACAAGCAGACCACCCAGCAGCTACTGCAGTGGCCCAGAGGGGAGGTGATGAGGGTCTGCATGGCATGAGGGCAGCTTCAGAGGAGAGGAGGGGGCGCATTCGGGAGATGTTATGAAGACAGAATCAATAAGACTTGATCACTATGGGGAGGAGGTGAGAGAGTGTGAGGGATCCAGGGTGACCCTTAGATGAGGAAGATGGTGTTGCCTTTGATGGTAACAGGGAGGAGGGGACATATTGAGTTTAAGATGCCTATGAGGCAGTGAAGCCAGGCACTTGGTGCAAGAAGTAGGAGTCCAGGGGCTCTTATACCTTTCTTTGCCCCATACCCCGACTCATTTGCAAGTGGAAAAAAAGATCTGACAGATAAGAATGGATGACAGAACTAGAGTCTGGAAGGCCTGAGTTCAAATCTACCCTCAGACACTAGCTGTGTGACCCTAAGCAAGTCACTTAACCTCTGCCTGCCTCAGTTTCCTCACATGTAAAATGGGGATAATAGCTTCTACGTCCCAGAATGAATCGAATGAGCTAATTGTTTATAAAGCACTTTGAGAATCTTCAAGCAGCCCATAAAGGCTAGCCATTCATACTGCTGTGGTTACTGTGCACCGGACGGCCCAATGTGGTAAAGAATGCACGGATTGTAATTCTGGAGAAGTCTATCATTTGCTCCAGGTCACACAGCTAATTAGTCACAGAGCTGGGCTTTGAAGCTAATTCCTTTCCAAATGCAGTGTTTAGCACCACGCCTGGAACATAGCAGGGACTTCATAAATCCCAGTGGATTCACAGACTTCCATCTCGACACCTAAGTGGGGGCAAGTAATTGGCAAAACCTTCAGCTGCTTCAGAAACAGGACCTGTCAGGGAAACGAGGGAAGAAAAGGCCCTGGAGATCACCTGAGGCCATCCCCTCTTTCCACTGAGGCAGACAGCACAGAATCATAGATTTAAGGCTGAAAAGGCCTCAGATTCAGTCCCTTCATTTTACAAAGAAGGAGATGTGAAGTGACCAACCCAAGGTCACCCAGCTACTAAGTGTCTGAGGCAGAACTGGAACCCAGGGCTTCACGATTCCAGTTCCAACACCACCTCCCACACCCGGCTACCACTGCAGTGGAGATGTGACTTGGCCAAGGTCACATCAAGCGTCAGAGCCGGAAGAAAGATGCTCGGAGGGCTGGGGGAAAGCAGCGTGCCCCCCTTTTCCCTAGCGTACCCCAAAATCTTCGGGACAGCTCCTTTTACTGTTGTTGTTATTGATGTTTTCTCTGAGGTGAAGGCGGTTTCCCGGCGGCTGGCTCAGGGGCTGGGCCCGCCTCTCGGCCCCCGGGTTCTCATCCCGTTCCATCTCCTCCACTTGGGCCAGGGGGCCGCTTGGTGCCCCGGGGACCCCAGACTCCAGCTTCTTCCTGCCCTCCTTGTCGCACAAACCAGACCCTTTCCGGGGATGCCTGGCTGGTTCCAGCACTGCCTCTCCCAGCAGAGCACCTCTCTCCAAATCCTCCAGCTGGATCAAGTCGCTCCCGTTGCCTGAGGAATTGGGCAGGGGGTCTGGGAGCTGGTGGTAGCAGTAGGGGAAAGCTGGGCCTCCGGGGGCCTGACTGTCCAGGAGCCCAGGCTGCTTGGGGCTGTCCAGGGTGACCAGCCGGGCCTCCAGATCAGCATCTAAGCTCTCCATCAGAAAGGCACCAGGGCCGGGGGAGTCGTCAGCCCCCTGCGGGAGGCTGCTCTCTGTCTGCTGTTTCCACAGTTTGTTGTGGCGCTGTTTGCTGCGGGGAGAAAAGGCAGAGGGCGGTCAGCCCGGAACCACGGTGCTCAAAGGGCCGCGCACGCTCGGAGACGCTGAGTTCTCATCTCCTCCTCATCACTTACTGGGCCTCAGTTTCCTCATGCTTAAAAGGAGGGGATTGGCCTAGGTGATCCTTAAGGTCCTATCTCCCTTTAGCTTTCTCTTCTAAGGAACTTCTTAGACCTGACATTTGATTGTTTAGAGTTTCTCTGAGCTCCTATGTTCTAAATTCTAAGGCCCCTCCCAGCCCTGACATTCCCTGTTCTAAGGTCTCTTCCAGTTTTTACTTTCCATGTTCTAAGGCCCTCCCAGCTCTGGCATTTCCTATTCTAAAGCCCCTCTCAGTTCTGATACTCCCTGTTTTAAGGCTCCTCCCAGCTCTGAAATTCCCTGTTCTAAGGCTCCTCCCAGCTCTGACATTCCATGTTCTAAGGCCCCTCCCAGCCCTGACATCCCCCGTTCTGAGGCTAGCTCTAGTTTTGATATTTTTTCTACATCTCTTCCAGTACTGAAACTTCACAAAAGGTCTACACTGCCAAGCAGTATCAGCGAGGATAAGAGTCAGGTTGGTTCCTGAAGGGTGCTGAGAGTCCCCAGAATCTAGCGCCAGGCTCTGAGGTTAGGCAGGCGCCATGTTCCTCCTTCAGGGTTTAGGCCTAGAATGATGAAATCACCTGAGAACCAGCCCCAGTCTCCTCACTCATTAGGACAGGCATAGGAAAGTATGAGTCTAGCCCTGCCACCAACCCTTGGACTTCAGTCAAGTCACTTAATTTCTCCCGTTTCTTAGTTTCCTGATCTGAAACCATCACAAACAATCTCCTGACCCCCTTTGGAGGCTACTACAACAATCTCCAGAAATTATGCATTTGAAAATTAAGTCCTGAGGCAGCTAGGTGGTACAGCGGATAGAGTACTGGCCTTGAAGTTAGGAGGACCTGAGTTCAAATCTCACCTCAGACATTTACTACTGTGTGACCCTGAGCAAGTCACTTAACCCTGACTGCCTCAAAAAAAAAATATTAAGTCCTATGAAAATGCTAGAGATCATGATAACAGTGAAGGGTTCAATGCTAGTCATGGGCAAGCCCAACGTGGCTAATGGTTCCATGGAAAGAGCCTCACATTTGGAGTCCAAGCTTTCTGGTTTCCAATCCTAGGTCTGGCATTTATTACATATTCAGTAGGCCTGGGTAGGATCCTTCCCCTCCCTGGGCCTTAGCTCCTCAATCTTCAATTCAATTCAATATTAAGCACCTACCGCATGCTGTGGATACCAATAAGAAAGACAGCCCTGCCCTCTGGGAGCATATAATCTAATGAGAAAAGACAGTGTTCAGTAGGAAGGGAGGGACCAGGTGACCCAGAACATCTGTTCCAATTTTAAATCTATAATTCCCCTCAGAGCCTCAGACTCCTCCTTTGTAAAACCAAGGGACAGAAAAACAAATGCCCTTTCCAGTCCTAAATCTCTGGACCCAGAGGATCATGCTCTGGAATCTGGTTTCCCAGTGGTGCTCGTCTGAGCTCGGGCTCTAGAACAATGAGATTCCGAGCAGGAAGGACTGCCTGCGAGAGATCCCGTTTTACAGAAGGGAAAAAAGAGGCCCCCAAAAGGGCACTAAGCTGTCCAAAGTTATCCCTGCTACGGCTTTATGAAGAGCATGACCGTCATAAGTCAAGAGGGGGAGTGAGCAGATGCAGCAGCACTAGGAGTGAGCCGTCCACTGGTTCCATGCATAGCACTGAGTACTATGGTGGTTCAGTCAGTCACCCAACCTGTGATCACAGACAGCCTGGAACACTAGCCCTTCCCTTTGCCTACTATCTCCAGTCTGGTCCATCCATTTCTTGGGCGTACAAAGTTGTTCGTGTGTCGTCAACCCCGGTAGACCGCGCACTCCCGGAAGGCAGGGCCTAGCTTTTCTTTCTTCATGTTGCCAGCATTTAGGTTTGTTGATGTGTACTACATGCCATGCACCTACTGGAATGGTCCCTGCAACAAGCATTTATTAAGTACCTACTATAGGCCAGACACCGTCCTAGGCACTGCAGACATAAAGGAATATTCTCTGTCCTTGGTCTAACCCTGCCAGAGCATCCCTTGTCTCCCAAGAGCACAATGAACATGGGACTGGGCATGGAGTCAGTGCCCAGCGGGGCACCATCCATAACTCCTCATTTGTCTCCACTGCTTTTTTTTTTTTTAGGCAGTTGGGATTAAGTGACTTGCCCAGGTTCACACAGCTAGTAAGCGTCAAGTGTTTGGTCTGAGGCCAGATTTGAACTCAGGTCCTCCTGACTTCAGGGCATCTCCACTGCTTTTAAGCAGGTAAGGATGGGGGAGGGGGCAGAATCATGCCCTCACCTTCAGTGGAGGATCTTGAGGTCAGGGAGGGGGAAGCCACCTGGCCCCCAAAGGGTGGGTCAGGGACTCAACCCCCCCAAATTAGTTCCCAGAAGAGTTGGCCATCCAGGGGGAAAGGAACTAGAGAGGGATGTTAAATTTTCCAGTCATCTTAAAATTGTCCTCCCCTGGCTAGTAAGGCAGCCAGGCTCACCCCGTGGATACAGCGCCAGGCCTGGAGTCATTAAGACCTGAGTTCAAATCCTGCCTGAGACGCTTACTAGCTGTGTAAGTGACTCTGGGCAAATCACCTCATTGCCATCTGCCTCAGTTTCCTCTCCCATAAAATGGAGACAATCTTATTGGTAACACCTGCCTCCCAGGGCTGTTGGGATAATATCCTTGAATCTCTGCAAACCCTAAAAGTGCTCTATAAACATCGGTGACGAATGAATGTTAGAGGTAGCCCCAAAGAGGGGGGATCCTGAGTTTGAAACCTGACTCTGCTACTTAATCCTGCTGTGGCTTCTCCAGGCCTCAGTTTCTCCATCTCTAGATTAGGCGAGAAGCCTCTGAAGGTCCTTTCTAATTCTAGACCTAGGATCCTTCTGGTGTGACCTTGGGCCTCAGTTTCCCCAACTGTAAAATGCAAAGGGTAGACCCAATGACCCGAGGTCCCCTCTAGCTGTAGATCTAAGATGCTCTATGTTCACAGGGTAGGATGCATAATTAGAAGGACCTCAAAGATCATCAAATAAAACCCATCTCCTGTACAATAATAATAATAACAGCCGAGGTTTCTGCAGTGCTTTCTCCCCAGCTTTGCCAAGCACTTTGTACACATTCTCTCGTGAGATTCTCACAGCCACCCTAGAAGGATGGTTCTGGGTGGAGTTACCCCCATTTCACCAACGGGGCAACTGAGGCTCAGAGAGCCTGCTAGTGACTGCTGGCGGTGGATTTGAACCCAAGTCTTCTTGCTGCTGTCCATGCCCAGGGGGCTGTGCCCTCACCTAGCGTCCAGGATGCCTTCATACTCAGACAGCTGCCGCATGAACCCCGCGTTGGGCCTGGCGATGCTTCGTTTCTGTTTCACGTAGTTGAAGGCCTTCTCCAGGGGCCACCCGAATTCCTTCATGGCATAAGCGATGACCGTGGAGGCGGAGCGGCTGACACCCATCTTACAGTGCACCAGGCATTTGGAATGGTTCTTCCTGGGGAGGAAGGGCAGGCCAGGGCCAGGTGAGGAGAAGAAAAGAAGCGAGACTGAGCTTTTGAAAAACAGGGAGATTTTCCTTTCATCAGGCCCACCCCCACCCTCTTCACCCTCTTCACCCTCCCACCCCAGCCAGCCTGCCCTGGATGTTTACAGAACATGTTACAAACACACCCATGAAAGGAAATCCCCCAAACTGAAAAATACATCAGCTAGGCCAAGCCAGGCCCTGCCCAGGGACCTGGCTGCTTTTGGCTCTGCCCGAGGGCAAGAGCAGGTCTAAGAAGGGTGTATCTGGGATGGAGCTGGGAAGCCTTGTCCAGGCTCCCAAAGCAATCAGGCAGCCGGAAGATGAGCTCCCAATGAGGCAGGCCCCAGCCCCGGAGAAGATCCTATGGGGAGTCAGGCCCCGGCCCTGGAGAAGATCCTATGGGGAGTCAGGCCCAGGCCCTGAAAAAGATCCTATGGGGAGTCAGGCCCCAGGCCCTGAAGAAGACCCTATGGGGAGTCAGGCCCCAGGCCCTGAAGAAGACCCTATGGGGAGTCAGGCCCAGGCCCTGAAAAAGATCCTATGGGGAGTCAGGCCCAGGCCCTGAAAAAGACCCTATGGGGAGTCAGGCCCAGGCCCTGGAAAAGATCCTATGGGGAGTCAGGCCCAGGCCCTGAAAAAGATCCTATGAGGGGTCAGGCCCCAGCCCTGGAGAAGATCCTATGGGGAGTCAGGCCCAGGCTCTGAAAAAGATCCTATGGGGAGTCAGTCCCCGGCCCCAGAGCAGATGCTGCAGGGGAGTCTGTCATCTGAGACGGGCAAGGCAGAAAAGCAGGTGGGGGTCAGGGAGCAGCAGCCTCCCTGCAGAGAAAAGGGACCAAACAGCAATTGGAGCCAGGTTTCTTAGGAGGTCCAGCTCAAGCCTGGCTCTAATTCAATTTAGTTCATAGGACCTTAGCTTTAGAGTTTCAAGGACCTTAAAAGCTGTACAGTCAATCCTCCTCATTTTGTACCAATGGGGAAACTGAGGTTCATAGAGTTAAACTGACTTGTCCAGGGTCACACAGCTCTTGAGTGTCTGTGGCAGGATTTGAACCTAGTTCTTCCCAATTCCAATTCCTGGGCCCATCCACTATGCCATGATTGAATTGATTTGAATTGGGGTAGCTAGATATAAGGATAGATAGAGAGCTGGGCTCAGAGTCAGGAAGACCTGAGTTCAAATTCCATCTCAGGCAACTCAGTTAAGATGGCAAGGTTCAGAGCAGGTGCTGATCTGCACTGGGGAAGGGAATTTCCTCACTGGGAGTACCTTACAGTTACAGAGTCAGAGGTCTGCAGCAGAAAGAGAAGAGGAAAGAAAAGACTGCACTGTAATTTCTAGAAGGAGAGCATTAACAGCTGGGGAGGCATGGGTCAGGGTTCAGGGTCCTTGCGTAAGAGGTGGCATCTGAGCGGAGTGTTGGAGAAAGGGGAAGCCACCCACAGGGGAGGAGGCAGAGCATTCTGGGCATCCGGGACAGCCGTGTAATGTTGTGTCTAAAGAACAGCAGCAGAGCAGTTTGGCTCGAAGAGATGATATTCAAGCCCCTTCTTGGGGGATGCTAGGTGGTGCCATAGTGTGTAGAGTGCCAGGCTGAAATCAGGAAGACCCTGAGTTCAAATCTAACCTGAGACACTTACTTGCCTGTGTGACCCTAGGCAAGTCACTTTACCCTGTTTGGCTCAGTTTCCTCGTCTGTAAAAGGAGCTGGAGAAGGAAATGACAAACCACTCCAGAGTTCAAATTTGGCCTCAGACACTTGACACTTAACTAGCTGTGTGACCCTGGGCAAGTCACTTAATCCTGATTGCCTCACAAAAGAAAAAAAAAGAAGCAGCCCTTTCTGGCTCTAAACCTTATGATAAATAGCAATGTAGCAGGAAGCATTTCTAGGTCTAATATTCTGTGCCATAATGCTTGGAAAGGGTGGGGCAGGGGAGAAGAACAGCCCCGACTTGGGAGCCAGAGGACCAGGTTCAAATCTTGCTGGGTATTCACTACTAGTGTGACCTTGGGTGAGTCAAACTCTCCCAGTCTCCTTTTCCTCCTCTGTGAAAAGAGGGGTTGGACTAGAACCTCGTCACTAGGTAAAGGACCTTCCAGCCTGAGATCTGGGACCCTGCATCTCTTTGACCCCTGGGCTTCTGCTCCCTCCACTGTGAAATGAGGAGGTTGGACCAGGCTTGTGAGGTCTCTTGCAGTTCTAGACTCCTCTAATCACTGTTTGTATGTTTTAGAAATGGGTCTTTTTCTCCAGGTCAAAACAGCCTTTGAGCTCCAGAACTCGGGGCCTGGGGCCAGATGAAGACTTTTCACTATCCTCAGGAATCTGGAGAAAGGGTTGATTTTATGACAGACATGCCAGGCGGGACTGAGGGGAGGGAGGTCTCCCTGGCTCGGCTTGCTTGGCTAGAAGAAGGAAGGGCAGCACCTGGAATAAGGAATGGGCAAAACTTTATTTGGGCTGAAGGTAATGATCTGGCAGCCAGACTGTTTATGTTACCCACAGCTGCTCTGCCGGCTGGGGAGGAGGGGGCCGTCAGATGTGCCGGCATCCTCCCTTCAAATTCCACGTCCCAAATCAATGCTTTTTGGAGCCCACAAGTCTTTAAGAGTCTCTCTTAAGGGACTTCTGAATCTTCCCATTGGGATGTGAATATAGTCAGTCAACAAACATTTATTAAGTACCTACTCAGTGCCAGGAACTGGGCTAAGAAGAGACCAGCATATCTTGGTCCTTGGAAGAAGGATAATCCATAATGCTTTAAGGTTTATATAAGTAGTGTAAATATTATACCCATTTTACAGGTGAGAAAATGGAGGCACAAGGAAGTTGTGTGACCTGCTAAAGGGCACATCTCCATGAAGTAGAAGAGTTAGGATTCACAGGGGCTGGAAGGAACCTTGGAGGTCACAGAGTCTAACACCCCCACCCCCTTTTTTTAAAAGAAAAAATTGGGGAAGCACAGAGGATGATTTTCTCAAGGTCAAACAGAAAGCGTCAGAGCCAGGGCCAAGATGCACATATGGTAAAGTGGAAAACAGGCCAGATCTGGAATCAGACCTGGGTTTGAATCCAAGCTTGGCCTTCGAGAGTCACATGGTGGCTTCCTTCCCCAGTCTTCCTAGAGTTCTTTGTCTGATTCTTCTCTCTGCCCTTGACACACTCTATCAGGTACCTCACTTAGCTGTGTATCCACACAACACCAAACCTCCATCCCCAGCTGGACACTGTCAGTTCCTTGAGGGCGGGAACTGTTAATATCATGGGGGCAGCGTGGCAAAGTACACAGAGTGATGGACTTGGGAGTCAGGAAGGCCTGATTTCAAATCTACCTAGCTGTGTGACCCTGGGCAAGTCACGCCACCTCTGTCTGCCTCAGTTTCCTCATCTATAAAAATAGGGATAGTAATAGCACCTTCCTCTGCCAGGGTTGTCGTGAGGACAACATGAGGTAATAGTTGTAAAGTGCTTTGTGTTCTAGGATTGCTAGCTGTTATTATTATTTTAATATTATAGACTTGCCTGGCACTCTATCCACTGTGCCACCTGGGGACACTCCTCATCCAGGAGTTCCCAGAACCAGAAAATCACTAGTGGAGTCCCCGTCCCACCTTGCAGGGCTGCCTCATTGATCAAATGAGGCCTGAGAGCTTCATGAACCAGAGTGCTCTCCCAAGGCTGAGATTATTTTATCTCCTGATGTTAAACTGAAAGGCCCGAATTCTCTCTGCTCCTGTGCATCTAAACAAACTGTAAATAAACAATCCCTGACCATCTCGGCATCCTGTGCCCAGTCCCTGGGCCTGCTGGGACCTTCACCTTTTACGTTAGTGAGGATGGCCCAGGAAGCCATCAATGAGCTGCGATTTCATCAGGTACTGGGAACTCCAGAAGAAGGAGTTCATTAAACAGATCTGCAACCTGCTGTGAAATGTGAGAGTCGAGCTGCCTGGGGCACTGAAGGCTGGCCAGGCTCACAAAGGGCCTGACTGACAAAGACTTGAAGTAAGCTTCAAGGGCACACTGCCTCTCAATTATTATTGTTGTTGTTGTTAATAATAATAATCGCTTGGATTCACAAAGTGCTCTAGAGTTTGCAAAGCCCTGGGAAGTAGGCACAACAGTCATGATCCTGATATTGGATTGATGGAATGGAAGCTTCTTAAAGGCAGAGACCATTTGGGGCATTGTTGGCCTCCTGGACCCCGAACTGAGGGCTGACACAGATGAGGTCCTTACTAAACACTTGCCGTGGTGTTTTCTCTCCCTGGGCTCCTGCCCCAGAACAGCCCACACTCTTTGAAGCACCTGGCACACAGTAGCTGCTTAATAAATGTTGATTAATTCAGAGACAAGCCCAAGCCAGGGATTCCCTACAATCGTGTGCCTCCCCTCACTCACTTGGCTTTATTTATAAAATGATATGCCTCATTCCAGTGGGCGAGGAGGTCCGTAGTCTCCTCATCGTAGACCCTGATGTTGTGGTAGGCAAAGAGGCCTGGGAAGAAGTTGTCTATTTCTCTGGTGACGTTTAAGATGTAGTCAACACTGTGATGAAAAAGAACACGAGACAAGAGGGAGTGAGAACGAGACCTGAACCCGTCCTCTCCTCCCCTCCCAAATGCCCCATGTCCACCTCCCATCCCACCTCCACCACTATCCACCAGGTGGAATGAACGGAAGGACTTGGGCAGCAGGAGATGTGGGTGCCAGGCCTGGTTCTGCCTCTTCCAAGCTCCAGAGGACCTCAGGCAACTCACTTCTCTCTGGGCCTCAGTTTCTAACACTACAGATTTGGGCGATAGACCTTAAAGGTCCCTTCCAGCACTAACATTCTACACCCAAGTTCTAAAGGCCCCCTTTAAGTCTATCATTCCCTGTTCCAAGGCCCTCCCAGCTCTGACATCCCCTGTTCCAAGGCCCTCCCAGCCCTGACATCCCCTGTTCTAAGGCACCTCTCAGGTCTGATATCCCAAGTTCTAAGGCCCCTCCCAGCTCTGACTTTCTATGATTCTACCCATGCAGACTTTAGAAATACTTTAGAATGAGAACAAAAAACCCACTTAAAATGTTTTTCAAAAGTTGGGCACATTTTTCTGTTAGTTCCTTAGTTTATTAGTTAGTTTCGCTGATACCTCTAATTTCAGGAGCTCTGTAAATTCAAAGCAATTATAGAAAAAGGAAGGGAAAGGGCCTAACTCAGATCTCATCTGGACTGGAAAGGCCTCAGTGCCCTAGCCCTGGATCTTTTAATCCTGGCCTGGCTGCCGACATGCTGGGTGCCATTCAGCCAGTGACTTCACCTTTCCGGGACCCTGGCTAGCCTCACCTGTAAAAAATGGGTAATGACTCCTATCCTTCTTCCTGCCCAGGATTTTGAGGAGGTTCCAATGAGCTAATGTTTATAAAACCCCATCAGGTGCTGCAGAAATGTAAGCTGTTATTACCGTAAGAAAGCATCTTCTAGGCGTGGGGGCACAAGCCACGGCTTATCACCACCCTCACTTTTCAAACAGACTTTCCAGAGAAAGAAAACATCTCCAGTGGCCCCAGAAATGTATTTTGGGATTCGTCTAGTCTTGACTTTTACATGTGGTCATTTGTGGATGCCTGAGGGTGGACCCGCCGAAGGGTGATCTGGTCTCCTTCAGCTGTTTGGTTTTTTTCCCTCTCCCCCCCCTTTAAAAAAAATAGCAATGTTCAGACATCTGTTCCCTGGAATCCAGATTGGAACATTTGTCTCCCATCCTGCTGTGGAGTGAGGGCTTCTGGCCTCCCCACACTGTTGCTGGCAGGCAGGAGGCCAGTATTTATTCAGAAAATCCCAGCAACTGTGGGCACACGATGAGACATCTACTTTTTGGACATAGCCAATGTGGGAATGTGTTTTGTTTGACTATACATATTGGTTACAAAGACTTTATTTTTCCTTCTTAGGTTTTCTTTTTTTTAATGGTGAGGCACAGGAAGGAAAATAGATCTTTGTTCCCTGAAACAAGTTTTTTCTTTTTGAAAAGAGAACATCTCCAACACTTTTTAAAGCTTAAAAGCTAATGAAAAGACTTCTGGTGATGACAAAGAACTGGAAACAAAGTAGATGCCCATCGACTGGGGAATAGAGAAACAAAGCATGATAGGTGAATGTCACAGATTCTTACTGCAATCTAAGAAATGATACATGCAATGGATACAGAGAAGCATGGAAAGAGCTACATGAACTGATGCAGATGAAGGAAGGAGAGTCAAGAAAACAACATAAACAAGGACTACAACAGAAATGGAAAGAACCAAAAATTGTCTTTACATATAACTGGAGAAAAATATTATTTAAAAAAAGAAAAGTAAAAAAAAAAGAAATGGAATGAACCACAAAGAAAAAAAATCAGAAAAGAATGTTATAAAATTATAAAAATCAAAAAAAGACTCTAATACAGAGATGAGAAGACTCTGAATTCCATCATTTCACAGAGGTGAGAGGTCCATCAGTATACAATTTATATGCTGTACATACATATTTTCAGACTTTTTCCATGTATTGATCAGTTATACTGATTTTTTCCATTCTTTCTCTTTTATTATTTTTTTGCTATATATAGTATTTAAAAATACTATTTATTCTAGGGAGAAATTAGGATGATATAAAAATACCAAAATACCTTATTTAAGAAAAAAACCAAACCGTGGAATCAAGTGAACAGTAATTAGAGATTCCTAATTTCTCCCCTGTGTGTCAGTTCTGGCAAACCCAATCGGCATTTCAAACTCAATATGGCCTGAACTTGAATGCATGATCTCCCCCCACAAAACTGGTTTCTCCATCCAACTCAGCTGTCTTGGTGGAGGGCAGCACCTTTGTCTCGGTCACTCAGGTGTGCCTTCACAGTTTATCCTAGACTCATATATCCCCTTCATCTCCCACATCCAACCAGCAGCTAAGACCTGGTGGTTCTACCTTTCTACTTGGCATAACTGTCTTCTTCCTCCCCTCACCCTCTACATCATTTTAGCATCAAGCTCCTATCACCTCTCACCTGGACAATTACAGCAGCCTCCTAAATGATCTCCCTGCTTCAGGTCACTCCCTAAGCTGATCCATCCTGAATTCCTTCAATGCTCTTTGAGTTTACAGGTATTTAAGACTCTCTAAAGGGAATTTTGGACCATCCCCAAGAAAATATACATACCAGGGGGAGAAAAGACCATACCTTAGCCCCAAGAAGAAAAGAGCAGATCAGCAGCAAAACAGTGCCTGGCACATTAGAAAGTGCTTAATAAAGGCATGCTCAACGACTGATTTCAGAGGCTCAAGGTGACCCTGTTATTCCCTTATTCAAAAACCTTCTGGAGCTCCCTATAGCCTCTAGGAGAACGTGTCAGCTCTACTTGGTATCAGCAGTCCTCAACCACCTGAATCCAACCTACTGTTCCTGTCTTGTTTCACAATAATTAACACTTGGCCCTCCTCGGCCCTCAAAAGACACCACTTTCCTACAACCTCGGGCTACCAGATGTTCCCTAAACCATCTCAGCCATTTTCACATACTCCTCATCTCCACCCTCTTCAAGGCAGGGAGGTGAGTCGACAGAGAACTGGCTTTGGACCTGGGTTTGAGTTGTACCTCCATTGCCCTGTGAGCTCCCTAACAGCTCAGTCTGGTTTATTTTGGTTTTGGCCTTTCTTTGTATCCCCCACACTCAGCTCAGTTCCTGGCACATAGAAGGAGCTTAATAAATGCTTGATGACTGACTGATTTCAAAGCTCAGCTCAGGGGGCCTGAGTTGGGATCTGCCTCCTTCAAATCTCCCTGGATTTCTCCTTTTTGTCTCTGTTTACAACATCCTTCTTTGTGTACCATAAACCATCAAGAGCTTTAAAAAAAAATATCTGATCCCCTGCATAGAATTCACCAAAGGGACTTAATAATTTGATACACAGAACTGGAAGGGACCTTAGAGGCCGGCCAGTTCAACCCATACCCAAAAAACAACCTACACTACACCCAGCAAACTGCCTTCCAGTTGGTGCCTGAAGGCGCCCAGTGAGGGACAGCCCATATAACCCTGCCCATCCCCATCCCACCCTTGGACAACTTGGTTAGGAAGCTTCAATGACCCTCTCTACAACCTTCCCCCTTGTTCCTGGATCTCCTCCTCTAGAGCAAGCCTCATTCTTTTTCAACATGGTGGGCCTTTTGATAATAACTTATTTATATAATGCCTTAAGATTTGCAAAGCACTTTACAAATATTCTCATTTTATCCTCAAAAAAAAAAAAAGAAATCTGTGAAGGAGGTATTATTATCATCTCCATTTTACAGATGAGGAAACTAAGGCAGACAGAGGTTAAAGTGACTTGCTCAGCGTCACTCACCTAGTAAACATCTGAGGCTCAATTTGAACTCAGCCTTCCTAACTCGAGGTCCAGTGACTTATGAACTGTGGCACCCTGCTGCCTCTAATATCTGGGGCCAGCTACTTGACCCCCCCCCTCCAATCCCTACTCCCTGAATCCCAGACCTCTCTTCTTCAGGCTAAAAATCTGCCCATCTTCCAACTAATCTTCCCAGTAGATGGAAGCTTCTTGAAGGCAGGGACTAATGCCCAGGTAAGGATTTGTATCTCCAGAGCTTAGTACTGAGCCTGGCAGAGCTGTGCTTATGCTGGTTGACAGATCCATTCATATGGCATGGTCTCTGACCCCTTAGCTGTCCTGGGTCCCAGTGGCCCTCTAGATGTGGTCTGTCTGACCAGTGCAGAGTAGAGCAGGTCTTTCTCACCTTCCTACGGTCCTTCCATGTCACAGAGTCCAAGCTCTCATCCTACAAGTCCATTTCCTGGATCCTCCTCCTTCTCTCCCTGGGCACAGTAACCAAGCCAATCCTACCAGAGCTTCAGGAAAGGGTGCATGATTCTACTGCCCCAGGGCTCCATCTCAGCCTTCTCCCTTCCCTGGCCACCTCTTGCCTCTTTTCTAATTAGAATGAAAGCTCTTGGAGGGCAGGGCTTGTCTCTCTTTTGTATTTCTATCTTCAGGGCTTAGCACAGAGCGAGGCACAGAACAAGTTATTAAGAATATTTGCCGATCATTCATCTGTAAAGTCAAGGGCTTGGACTGGACCCCACTACGGCCCCCTCCAGCTCAAAATCTCTGATCCCATGATCCAAGGCGTCCAAGTAGAGGTGAGATGACCCCTTGGCCAAGACGGTACAAAGGGGATAGTGCTAGGCCTGGGCTGGACAAGACAGTCTGTGGGCCCTGCCAGCTCTGAGCTTCTAGGACTCCGGGTAGAAAAGAGGGTGCTAGGAAAGGCTAATGAGAACTCCTAGCTCTGACATGTCCTGTTCTAAGGCTCCTCCCATTCCATGTTCTAAGGCCCCTCCCAGCTCTGACATCCCATGTTCTAAGACCCCTCCCAGCTCTGACATTCTCTATTCTATGGCCCCTCCCATCCCATGTTCTAAGGCCCCTTCCTGCTCTGAGGTACCGTGGCAGTCTCCAACGTTCATCTGTGACATTTGGGTTTCTTTTAAAAACCATTTCCACACCAAAAAATAGAAAGCCCGACCATTTGAGACTCATGAATTATTCAGGGAATGACATTTTGAAGTACTTTTGTCAGAGCTACTAATTGCTTCTGCCAGCTGCTAGGGGGACTGACAGGTAGAACGGACAATAGTCTGTTCCTGGCCGGCCACTGGAGGCCTCTACTCCTGGGGCTGAAGGTCAATGGCAGCCTTCCCTGGGCCTGATTAAATGTACTTACCCTGAGCCCTGCAGCTCCTCCAGATTGGACGCATTCCACTCAGAGCCCTAGGAAACAGAGAATACACAGAAATCCCAATATGTTCAGATAGCTGTAGCCTCAAGAAACACCCATAGTCTGGCCCTAGAGTCACTGCTGGGGAAGGGTTTTGTCAAGGCTGAGGTATCAAGTGGAAGGGTCTGATTCAAAGAAATGTCCTTTGTAATTCACCACTCTGTCCTTGATGCTCAGGACCAAGGAGCTGGTGGGGGGTTGGAGGGAGCAATGGTGGCAAGAGTGGGTTCTGGCTGTGGGAAGATCTCTTTAACCTCTGAGGCTCAGTTTTCTTATTGGTAAATTGAGGCTGAAATAGAAGGAATGGTCCTTAAGCCCTCCCAGCTCTGACATCCCCTGTTCGCAGGCCCCTCCCAGCCCTGGCATCCTCTTTTCTCAGGCCCCTCCTAGCCCTGACAAAACCATTGATCTAAGCTCTAATATTCCTCTTAGGTCTAAAAAAAAATCCATCCTAAACCCTCTTCCAGCCCTGAACCAAGCAGACCCTTTCTCCATTATGTAATTGTTGACGTGGCCCATTAGCTTTATGGAAACACAGAGTCAAGAGAAGCTCACTCCTTCCTTGTCCTTCTCTTAGTTCCAACATCATGAAGCCTTCCAGAGGAAGTGTCCTTTAAAAACTCACTCAAAAAAACATTCTTCAGGTCATCGAGAGAATTTCTGGGGAGACTAGAATCGTGTCACTTTGGTGCTGGGTTCCTCATCCATTCTCAGCAACCACAAAGTGGAGCACTTTGAGGTTCTCCAAGAGCCAAGGAGCACGTGTCCTGGGGCTTCCCCAAAGGATTCCCTTCCAGAGGGGGCAGGGGGCCTAACCATAGCAGAAGGCTACACACACACACACACACACACACACAGAGGTGGCTCTATCCTGGGGCTGACTGGATTCCATGGAACCCTAAGAGGCCTTAGATCACAATGTGGAATGATGAACATAGGAAAGAGAACATGAGGAATTCCTTCACATTCCAGCTCGGGCCATTACTACCCTTGCCTTCTCTATGCCTTGGCCTCTACACCTGTAAAATATGTGTGTGTGTGTGTGTGTGTGTGTGTGTACACGTGCGCACGCTGGGGGGAGGGTCTAGATGACCTCTAAGACTTCTTCTGGCTCTCAGTCTAAAGAGACAGTTCTGTGACCTGGAATCTTAGAGCTGGAAGGGCCTTTAAAGACATGAGTCATGGATGCTATCTATCTATCTATCTATCTATCTATCTATCTATCTATCTATCTATCTATCTATCTATCTATCTATCTATTTATTGCTTTTAGGCAACTGGGGTTAAGTGACCTGCCCAGGGTCACACAGCTAGTAAGTGTCAAGTGTTTGGTCTGAGGCCAGATTTGAACTCAGGTCTTCCTGACTTCAGGGCCGGTGCTCTATCCACTGCACCACCTAGCTGCCCCATGAGTCATGGATGTTACAGTAGGAATTTCTTTCGTGTATGGGTTGGACCAGATGGTGAATAAAGGTTCTGGTCGACTCTCCAATTCTCTGATTCATTTTACAGAGGAGGAAACAGAGGTTGAAAGAAGGGAAAGGACTTGTCCAAGGCCACAAGGCAAGGTATTGGCAGAGCTAGGACAATTCAATCGATAACTGAGCGTGCATTTGTTAAGTGCCTATGATGTCCATAAGTAAGGTGTGAGGTGTGTAAGGTGCCTGGGATACAAAGGAAAAATACAGTAGTACCCACCCCCAAGGAGCTAATATTTTACTAGGGACATAAAAATAATGTTACGGTAATAATGTAAACCTGCTTTCTTAGGACTGTCCTCGTGTGCCCAGCACACGACAGGTGCTTAATAAATGTTGGACGACTTGAACCACCCTTTGGTAGTACAAGCATTCAGGCAGTACGAGCATTATTATCTTCATTTTACAAATGAGGAAACTGAGGCTTGGAAGGCAAAGTGATTTTCCCAGGAAGGCACAGAGAGTATAGGTGGATCTTAAACTAGATCCTCTGAATCCAATACCAGTCATTTTAGAAGTTAAAATTTACTGATGCCTTTTGTTTCCATATTACCATCATTTCCAGTTAGAATAACTGCCAAACACAGAGCCCGAGCTTGTAGGAGTTAAGCAGGCAGTCTGCAGAATGTCCCTGCCTGATGGTGTAATGCAGCACTCTGTAACCCCCCCACCTCTCTATGGTGAAGACAGAAGTTTCATTATCTGTTTTCTCTAAGGCCAAAGTGGGTCTTTACAAGTAACCAGGACAGGGGCAGCTAGGTGGTACAGTGGATAGAGCACTGGCCCTGAAGTCAGGAGGACCTGAGTTCAAATTCGGTCTCCGACAAAACACTTGACACTTACTAGCTGTGTGACCTTGGGCAAGTCATTTAACCCCACTTGCCTAAAACAAACAAAACAAAAAACCTAAAAAGGAACCAAAGCCTTTTCTCCTTTATCAAACTTCTTCTGCTTTTTCTGCTAAGCTACTCTGACCCAGAATTCACTTCATGGAACGGGAAGGGTGGGGAAAAAGAATGGCTCAAATCCTGAAATTCCTTTAGGAACAATCATGGAAAAAGTGATACAGAGCACGAACCCCTGCTAACGAGGTAATTAAACTCCGGTTAAGGCCACCACCTTCCTTCAGCCTGGAGTGCCACCTAGTGGAGAGACAGACAATGGGCAGGAGGATTTCCTCTAGAAGCAGAGAAATCAGATTTGGGACATTCCTCCAAACCATGTTGCCCAATTCCGTGGCAAATCATTTGACCTTTCTGGGCCTGTTTACTGTACCATTAAAAGAGTGGGATGGAGTAGATGATTTTTAAGGCCCTTCGCAGCCCTGACATTCCCTGTTCTAAGGCCCCTCCCAGTTCTGACACTCTTTGTTCTGAGGTCTCTTCCAGTTTTGACTTTCCATGTTCTAAAGCCCTTCCCACTTCTGATACTCCCTGTTCTAAGGCCCCTCCTAGTTCTGACACTCTTTATTCTAAGACCCCTCCTAGTTCTGACACTCTTTGTCCTAAGGTTCCTCCCAGCTCTGACACTCTCTGTTCTAAGGTCCCTTCCAGTTTCGACATTTCATGTTCTAAGGCCCCTTTCAACTCTGACACTCTCTGTTCTCAGGTTCATTCTAGTTCTGACATTCCATGTTCTAAGGTCTCTCCCAGTTCTGACACTCTTTGTGTCCTAAGATTCCTCCCAGCTCTTGTATTCTAAGATCCTTCCTCGGCCCAATTCTTTAATCTCCTTGGGCCTCAGTTTCCTCTTCCTTAAATAAGGGGGCTGGATGACAGAGCAGGGGGGTATAATAGAAAGAGCACTGTATTTGGATCCAGATTGGGGTTCAAATCCTGGCTCAGACAATCTCCTTGCTTCTGGGCAAGTTGGATTATCTCTTTGAGACTGAGTGTCTTCATCTGTAAAATAGGAATTAAATACATACCCTATCGCCATCACAGGGGGACAGGGAGAAAAGTGCTTGGTAAACCTTAGGGCGCTTGTTCCATTCTATTCAGTACTATTTTTATCTGCGAAGAAAGGGTTTTATCAGTCCCTACTAGACCACATGATTTCTGATGGAAGGTGGCCTGTTTTCTTTATCTCTGAATCTCCCACAACAGAAAGCACAGGGCACAAAACATGGCACTCACTTAATGTTTGCTGAAAGCTCCTCAGCATTCTAGAGGGCACTCAAAGGAGTCCACATATTACTAGGGGTGGAAGAGAACATGACAACCAGTTGAAGAGTTGAGTGTCATGAACCACATTTTAAACAACTGCCTTGAGAACAGACCAACAGACCGCTCTCCAGAATTCAAACTTTACTGGGGATTCTCCCTGATGAAAACAATCTGTTTCTCAAGTCCCTGATCCCCTTAGCCTGCAGCTTTCTCAGTGATTTGCTACAAACCCTTGGGCCCTCAGGGATTGATCCATATTCCTGAAAAAAGATGCCACACCAAAGAATCAGAAATTGAGGGGATGCCCATCAACTGAGGAATGGCTGACCAAGCTGTGGTAGATGAATGAGAAATGATGAGCAGGCGGGTTTCAGAAGAACCTGGAAAGACTTGTATGGACTGATGCTGAGTGAAGTGAGCAGAACCAGGAGAATGTTGTACACAGTAACAGCCACAGCTGTATGGTGACTAATACTGACAGACTTAACCCTTCTCAGCAATGCAAGGATCTAAGACATCTCCAAAAGTCTCACGATGGAAAATGCTATCCACATCCAAAGAAAGAACTATGGAGTTTAAATGCAGATCAAAGCATACTATTTACTATTTTTTTCCTTCTGTTTTGTTTTCTCTTTCTTGTGGTTCCTCCTATTGGTTCTAATTCTTCCTTACAACATCACTAATGTGAAAATATGTTTAACAGGAATGTATATGTATAGCCTAAATCAGATTGCACGCCGTCTTGGAGAGGGAGAGGGAAAGAAATTTAAAACTCAAAAGCTTATGGAACTGATTGTTGATAAATCAAAATTTATAATAATAAATGATAATAAAACACCCCAAACAATAAATAATAATTATAATAATATTATAAATCATCATCATCATCATAATAAAAAGATCACACACGTAATCTGGGCCTGAGCCTCTTACCAGATAGAGGTGATCAAAGATGAGGGAGGGCTTGTCCATCTGGCCCAGGATGAGAAGCATCTCATTGTCAATGAATTCTTTGAATTCCTTCAGGTTGCAATTCATCTGCTTCTCTAATTCATTGCGTATCTGTGGAGTGGGGAAATGTCAGGAAGAATGATTATTAAGAGACAATTTTCTCCTCAAAGGAAAAAACCATAGCACAGGCCATAGCCCATTAAAAAAAAAAAGTGGTGCCTCTTTTCATCTCAGAGAGGATCAGAGTATTGCCTGTACTACCAGAAGTTATAAATGAGTTTTGTGTTGTTTTGGGTTTCGGTCTAGACCAGAGATTATAAGACAGCAGTGAATCCCTAGTGGGGAAATTTCCTCCATGTAGACAGAATGGCACCTCTTACAATTTATAGTCTAATGCCTGGGTCATTGAGAAGTTAAATGACTTGACTTGAACCTAGTTATTTACCTAGAGACAGACCTTGATATACTATGACACATTGCATCTGGTTTTGTTTAACTGTATCTCGCTCAGGCTGGAAGTTCAGAAGCCACTCATGGGTCTGATCCCTCTACCAAATGGCATGAAAACTCTGACCTACTATTTTCCACCTGAGCTGGTTCTTCCCTCCTTCGGCAGCCTAGTGGTACCTGGCTCCAAGGAGCTCCCCATATCGGTGCCAGACAGGGGGAACATCTGATTGGCTTAGCTCACTGTGGCTCAATTGATCTTGCAGACTCAGCCTATCCCAGGTGCAGCGATTACAGGCATGGACCATGATACCCTGCACACTACAACTTCAAAGTAAAACAAAAAACCAAGGGACCTACATTGAATATATCAGCAGGAAAAAAGATAACTATTTAAATATGTGTAAGAGTATTCACATTAATATGTACAATATGTACAGATATTAAAATATGCATAATACATAATTGCAAAGAACCAGAAACAACATAAATGTACTCAAATGGCTTAGCAAATTATGGGACACTGAGGATGCCAGATACAGAGGAAAGGACCCTAGATTTGAAATAAAAAAGCTAACGTGATGTGAGAGAGAAACAAAACTGGATTTCTCAGTGAATGCAGGAGTAAAACAAGGATTCTTCCCTTTCCCACTGTTATTTGATACAGTTCTCGAAATGGTAGCAGTCGCAATAAGGGAAAGAAATGAAAGGATAAAGACAGGCAAAGAGGAGACAAAATTATCCTTATTTGCTGATGACATGATGCATTACGCTTAGAGAACTCCAGAGAATCAACAGAGAAAGTAACTGAGAAAAAAATGTATAATTCCAGCAAAGTAGGATAATGCTCCCCCCCCCAAAAAAAAATCAACAGCATTTCTATATACCAGTAGGAAAACCCAGGAAGAAAAAAAAAAGAGAAGCCTCCTTCAAAATAGCTATAAAATGGAAATATATGGGAGTCAATCTACCATAGTACCAAGACTCATACATGTTCAATCAAAACTCTTTTTAAAGAAACAGAAGTCTTAGGTCTAAGACTTGGTTCTAATATTTACTAGCCCTGTGACTCTGGGCAAGTCATTTAGCCTCAAATGTAAAATGGAGGCAATATTTCTTATGCTGCTTCTGTCAGGCATATTATGGGGGAAAAGGCTTGTAAGCCTTGTATATAGCACCATGGAAAATGTGATTTTTAAAAATATTATTGCATCATCATAACAGATAAGAACCTAATATCTCAAATTTATCAGGAAATGATACATTTTCAAGGGTAACACACAGTTATCAAATGGTCAAAGGATATGAACAGAAAATTTAGAAAAGAGTACACAATACTGAAAATAAACACCTGACCAAGTAAGTGATCAATCTCACTAGCGGCTGAAGAAATAAAAATGAAAATGACACAGAGGTATCATTTTGTAGCTATTACATTCCCAAGAATAAGTAAAAGTGACCCAACTCAATGCTGGAGGGAAGGGATGTTGTGGAAAAGTAGGGAAACTCATACAGTGCTGGTGGAATTACGGATTAGAAGATTCTTTTTGGAAGGTAAGCCATAAAAATAATAATACCCTTGGACTCAATAATCTTTGTTACTGGGAATATACCCTGAGTATGTGATGATACAAAAAAGGTGATCTGCTCTACACACATACACGCGCGCGCGTACACACACACACACACACACACACACAAACACATGATGATATGTACTACATCAGTGTTTTATATACTGATTTGTAGTACTGAGATACCTTAGCATTCTATAATAATGCAAAGAAAGAGAGGTGGATAGAGAGGGAGAGATAAGCTGCTGTGGACATTTTGCATGTGGCAATTACTTTTTAGGTGTAAATGCCAAGTCTTCCTGATTCCAGGCCTGGTGCTCTATCTATTTTGCACTACCTAGTTGCCCTGGCATACATTAAGTGCTTAATAACAGGAGGCAGGTAGGTGGCCAAGTAGAGTCAAGAAGACCTGAGTTATAAACCTCCCTCAGACACTCATTAGCTGTGTACCTCTGGGCAAGCCATTTCACTTCTGTCTGTCTCAGTTTCTTCCTCTGTAAAATGGGGATAATAATAATAGCATCTCCCTCCCAGGGTTGCTGTGATGCTCAAATGAGAGAATATTTGTAAAGTGCTTTGCAAATCTTAAGGAGCTCCATGAATTTCAGCTCTTATTATGATATCATTATTATGAATAAACGTTTGATCATAAATCAATTATCAAAAAGCACTTAAGTGCCTACTATGTCTACTATGATGCCAGGCTTTGAAAGGCTGCAAAGACAATGAACGAAACAATTCCTGCTCTTAACAGTCTTATATATTATATCAGGGGATACAAGTACAAAGATGAAATGTAAATATATATTACAAGTATTACATTCATAATATTTATACATAATATAAATATTATATAGAAATATATTTATATATAATATATATAAATATATAATAAATATAAAGAAAGTAAATGATAAATTCAAGGCCATTAAAATGCGAGGTAATTAGGGAAGGAGGGCACTAGGTTTAGAATAAAAAAAGAATAAAAAAAAGCTTATTCAAGGCTTACTGTCTCAAACACCATGTAACCCCACTAGTAGAGACAAGGGAAGGAAAGAAGAGGTGCAAAAATGGCCTGATCTGGCAAACGAGGGATGGAGTGGATGGGGAGAGAAGGAGGGTATAAGGTACACGCTGACGTCATGCATCTGGCCGACTGGAAGCATGGTGGCACCTCTGATAGGTAGAAACACACAAGTTTGGAGGATTCAAGGGTCTGGGGGGAAGATGAGGAGCTCCATCGTGGACCTGCTGAGTTTGTAGGGCTGCTGAAATGTCCAGCTGGTAATGTGGGGCAGGTAAGAGATGGAGGTGGGGGGAAGAGAAAGAGACAGAGAGAGAGAGAGAAGAGAGAGAGAGAGAGAGAGAGAGAGAGAGGAGAGAGAGAGAGAGAGAGAGAGAGGAGGAAGAGGGAGAAGGAAGAGAGAGGAAGAGAGAAGAGAGAGAGAGAGAGGTACATATATATGTATGCACATATGCATGTGAGTGAATATATACATATAGCTAGCTAGACAGATAGAGATAGATGTATCTGGGAGTCATACTAACTAAACCATGAGAGCTGATGAAAGAAGCAGATCGTAGCTTTACAGGCCATCTTGTCCACTCCCCTCATTTCATGGAGGGTGCCCCATCTGTAAAATGGGGGGATTTCCACTAGCTAAGTGACTGAAAGCATGTTGTCACAGTATGATTTAAGGCTTCAAATATATTCTCAAGCCCACAAATGATCACCCATGGGGACCAAAGGCGTGAGATACAGTCTAGGGCAAGAGGAGATATAAAAATTTGAAGGAAATTAAACCCATTTTCACACAGGAAAAAAAATTTTGTAGGCTGTTATTTTTGGATTCCTATGTGATTTTTTTTTTATTTTAGAGGGAAAAATAACACCAGAATAAAAATTTTCTCAAGGCTTCTGTGGTAAGATAGCTTGGTAAATTTTTTTTTTCTTCTTTTAAAGCTTAATAATTTCTCAGCTTCTACAAACCTAGCTCTTATATTTATTAATTGTGACATCAGGCTAGTCACATCCTCTGCCCAAGCCTCAGTTTTTCCATCTGTAAAATGGGGATTGAATTGTAAAGAGATTTGTGAACAATGGGGCACCATGGAGACCCAAGCTGGAATGCTCATTCTCTTACTTCTTTGGAGGTCACATTTTCCAAGTCCTGACTCATCATGATGCTTCGGAGCTTGGCTTTGATGAGGCGCTCTGTTCTTTCCCCTTCTGTTGGCCTGGGGGAGAAAGAATACTGAGGAAATCCCAGGAATCTTGGGGGGGCACTGTGGAAGCAGGTATTGGACTAAAGCCTCCTGGGAGCGCCCATGGTCCCTGCTTGTGACACCTTGGTTGGAGGTGCCAGGACTTTTTAACAGGAAGAGAGCAGGGCAGAGGTCAAAATGTAGGTTGTGTCTTTGGAAAGTCCCTCAAAAACATTGGGAACAGCTGAGAGGCCCTGAATGGGGAACCAAAAAAAAAGAAACCTGGAATCCAAATCAAAGATGCCAGCCACTCTCGGGTCGAGTTGGGGATGGAATCAGGAGGAGAGATTCTTTTGGAAAAGCAAGTTGGAGCAGCTGAGAGATACAAGGCTGAGGGCTGCTGCCAGGTAGGGCTGGGAGAGTAAGGTGTCTGGGAAGCACTGGCCTGGGAGGCAGAAGACTTAGATTCTGGACTCAGCTCTGCCACTAAGCACCTGTGTGCCCCTGGGCAAATCACTGCCCTTTGCTCTTCCCAGTTCTGCCGCTTAAGCGAGAGAACAGGGATAAGTGACCTTTAAAAACCTTCCCAGCTGACATTCCCTGTTCTAAGGTCCTTCCCAGCCCTGGCATTCCCTGTTCTAAGGGCCCCTCCCAGCCCTGGCATTCCCTGTTCTAAGGGCCCCTCCCAGCCCTGGCATTCCCTGTTCTAAGGGCCCCTCCCAGCCCTGGCATTCCCTGTTCTAAGGCCCCTCCCAGCATTAATGTTGTGTTCTCTTTCTGGACTCATTTCCGGGACTGATATTCTTATAGATTTAATAAATTCTAAGGTCCTGTCTAGATCTAAAACTCGACATTCCCCATTCTAGCTAGAGAGTGGATTCCTCTTCCGAGAAGGGAGGGATGAGGGATGTGGTGGGAACACCCGGCTGGCTTGGAGGGAGGGTAAGGGGAAACCTTGGCACCTACTTGTCCACAAAGAGGGCCGGGGAGTCCGGCCTCGTGGACTCCAGGTCCTGCATGGCATTCCACTCATTGATGCAGCTCTGATCGGAGCCGATACAGCTCTCGTAGTAGGTGGCCCACACCAGGGCCATGCCTCCAGGGAAGTAGTTGTATCTCCGGGCCACCTCACAAGCCTTGTGCAGAATCTGGAGGGCAGACCTGCAGGTGGGGAAAGATAGAAGACAAGACCTAGCAATGGTCAAGGGCTGCTGGGGGTATCTTTGCAAGGGCAGGAAAGATGGACGAGCGATGGAGATTTGGCTTCTTTCAGCCCAAGAAACATTTATTAAGAACCGATTATGTTGGGGCAGCTCGGTGACGTGGTGGATAGAGCACTGGCCCTGGAGTCGGGAGGACCTGAGTTCAAATCCAGCCCCAGACACTTGACACTTACTAGCTGTGTGACTCTGGACAAGTCACTTAACCCTGATTGCCTTGCAAAAAATAAAATAAAGAACCAATTATGTGCAATGCCCTGTGCTAAGCACTGGGGATGCAAAGACAAACATGACACCATCCCTCCCTTCACGGAGCTTTGGTTGCTGGTCGGCCCATGTTCAATTGCGACCCCATTTGGGGTTTTCTTGGCAAAGAGACTGGACTGGTTTGCCATTTCCTTCTTCAGCTCATTTTACAGAGGAGGAAACTGAAGCCCAGGGGGTTCAAAGTGATTTAGGATTATAGGAGCATAGGCTGAGAGGTGCAAGGGACCTTAGAGGTCATCTGGCCCAAGCCCCTCACTGTACAGAGGCCCAAACAGGGTAATCACGCACCCACGGTCCTTGAGGCAGTAAACAGCAGCCTGGCCCCATCTCAGCCCCAAACCCAAGGCTCGTGCCCCTACACCACGCTGACCTCATGCCCCAGAACGCAGTGGGACAGTCCCATCCCACTTGAATCCTGCTTTATATTTCTAAGACGCTTCAAGCTTCCTGTCCACAGCCCTGTGAAATGGGTATATTATTCTCATCTGATAGATGAGCAAACTGTCTCTCAGAATAGGATCCTGACTTATGATTCTTTTCTCTTTTTTCATGCCATGGTTTACCTTAGAAAAACTCCACGAGTCAGAGTGACTTCTGAAGTTGCCATTATTGTGAACACATTAACCCAACAGGGTTGCCATGATGGATTCCTAACCTAAGCCTGCTGCCACTTAGACCGAAGTGAGCAAGCCCTGGAGGGACACAGGCTGGGACCAAAGACGGGGAGGCTGTCAGGGTTGGGGGTGGGGTGGAACCACGCTGAAAAGCTAAAGGGCTGATTTGGTCACTTTGGTCTCACATATGCAGGGAGGCTCGGAAACCTCAGCACCTGGAACTTCCCAAGTGGGCGTGCTGAATATGACACTAAGAACATAAGAATGTGACATTGGAGTAGGGACAGAAATGGGCTGGATCTCCTGGACTCAGCCATAAAACCCACTGCGGCCACATGTAGGCCTGTGGACGCTCTGAAGGTGGACTCAGTATGCATGTGACTCTGGAACACTCCCACCCTTCCTGAGCATCTCACTTTAACTGGATCATACATATAGAGCTAAAAAAAGACCTCAAAAGCCATCTAAGTTGTTTCACTGTACAGATGAGGAAACTGAGGCTGACAGTATGGAGTGACTTGTCCAGGGTCATACTGCAGTAAGCGTCTGAGACAGGATTTGAAATCAGGTCTTCCTAATGCAGATGACATAGATCCGTTCACTGCTCTAAGCCTCCTTTTCTCTTTGTGAAAATGATGGCTGGACTAGACACACTTTAAAAGTTCATTTCTAGAAATAACACACAGTAAGGCTCCTCCCAACCTTGACATCCCTGTTCTAAGGCCCCTCCCAGCCCTGACATCCCTGTTCTCAGGCCCCTCCCACCCTGACATCCCCTGTTCTAAGGTCCCTCCTAGCCCTGACATCCCTGTTCTCAGGCCCCTCCCACCCTGACATTCCCTGTTCTAAGGCCCCTCCCAGCCCTGACATCCCTGTTCTCAGGCTCCTCCCAGCCCTGACATCCCTGTTCTAAGGTCCCTCTCTGCTCTGATATTCTCTGTTCTAAGGCCCCTCCAGCTTTGACATTCTTTGTTCTGAGGCCCCTCCCAGCTCACGTCTTATAGGATGCCACCGGGTGCCTGAAAAGGAAAACCTCTAATGGGCACTGAAGAAAAACCACCGAGCAAAGTCTAGCTTGCTGGACTGACACCTTGCCCATCGATGTCCACCCAGGAGAGCTAAGGCAGCCTAGGGGATGGGGTGGGGGTGGTAAATGACGCTTCTTCCCCCGTTTCTGCCATCAGCCCATGAGAATGTGCATCGACACTTACCACATGGCCTGGACAGACACCGGCTTAAAGACATGCATTCTTCCTGCTGTGCTCACACTGAATCCACTGAGAAAAAGAAAGAAAAAATAAACTTGCTCTATGTGAGAAATCACACTCCCTAAACAAACAGGCTGGGACTGGGACAGGGCGACACATGTCTGATGCTGGGCTGGGGCAGTGCCAGAGGTGTGGCCACAAGGGGGAGCCCTCTAGTGCTCTGGGAATGGATAGAACTGCAGAGTGGTAGAGTAGAACAGAAGCTCTGACATTCCCTGTTCTCAGGCCCCTCCCACCTCTGACATTCCTTGTTCTCAGGCCCCTCCCAGCTCTGATATCCCCTGTCCTAAAGCCCCTCTGGGCACTGACATCCCCTGTTCTAAGGCCCTCCCAGCTCTGACATTCCTTGTTTTCAGGCCCCTCCCAGCTCTGACATCTCCTGTTCTAAGGCCCCTCTGGGCTCTGAGGCTCTGTGCCAACTCTTCCAAGGTTCCTTCTAATCCTAACATGCTGTGACTCTACTCATCCTCTTTCCCTTCCCGCCTTCCCTTCCTCATTTTAACAATGGTCTCATTCTGAAAACCCACCAGGCTGTGCCTTTAGGCTCCATTTCCTATTGAAGTTCTTCAGTAACTGAACCTCCTTCCATAAGGGTCCAAGAAGGAACCCTGGCTCACTCCCCTCAACACACTTCTGCCCCAGTGAATGATGGTTACATCATTCACTGCCTTGGTCAGTGGTGGGCTGTCCCAAGCTGGAGGCCTTTCCTGCAGGGGACGGAATGAGAGGTGACAGGGTCTTCCTCCAGCCCTCTTCTCAAAGGAGCCATTTTCAGCCCCACTCACCCATCTCCATCGAGGTGTATCTTGGTGTCACTCCACAGACGAAGGACCATCCCGATGGTACAGCTCGTGCTGTGGGGAAGAGGAGGCAGACAAGAGCTTACAGAGGGTCTCACGCCCTTGCACCCTTGCTGCACCCCAGCCCCCCAACCAGCCCTCCATGTTCATATCGGAAAAAGAATAACACATCCAACCGTCCCAATGACTTGGGATGGAACCACCAAGGGAAAGGCCAAGAACCAGACGAGAAGCAGAAGAGACCTCAGGGACATTTATTATTCCCCACCCCCATTTTACATCAGAGGGAAACTGAGGCCCAGAGAAATAAAAGATCATAGGTGTAGAACTGAAAGGGACTTTAGAGGTCCATTTTACAGGACAGGAAACTGAGGCCCACAGAAATCATAATATCACAGATTTAGAACAGAAAGGGACCTTAGAGGTCATCTAATCCAACCCTACCACTTTCTAGAAAATAAAACTGAGACCCAGAGAATTAAGGTGACTTACCCTAGAACATACAGGCAGTATGTGGCACAGCTAGGGACAGGGTCTGGAGGCTAAAGATCTGACATCTGACTGTTACCACCTATGTGACCTTGGGAAAGTCACTGGACTTTGCTGTGACTCAGTTTCCTCACCTTTACAGTGACTTGGTCTCCTAGACCTGCAATCCTGGGACTTTCAATCCTGCCTTCCTTCCACAGGGCCAAGCTCTCCCTTTGATGTGAACGGCTATCCCAGAGAAGGGTTTGGCCCCAGGAGGAGCGCCAAGGAGTCTAACTTAGGCTTGATGGAAGCTTTCTAAGAGGGGAGGACTGCCTTGATTTGTAGGAGGCTGCCCCAAGCTGGAGGTTTCTAAGCAGGGTCAGGATGCCCATCTGTGGGACACTTTGTCCAGGGATGGGTTGGACTGAATATGTCCGAAGTCCCTCCCACTGTGGAGGCTACAATACCAAAGCCACAAGGGGGCTTTGTGACAGATACCCCACTTCGAGGGATGAAAAGAAACAGGGGCCTGTGACAAAGGACTTTATTATACCCAATGCAGTGAGAGCAAGTCAGCACTGATTCTGGCAGGAGCCTCATCAAGATGAGACGGTCGAAATAAAGTGTAAATTGTTTCTAATACACCTGCTAGATCTGAAATTTCTGTGCTTTAAAACGGTGGCGTCAAAATCAAATAGAAATGGGGAGAGGGAGAAAGAAGCCCTACATGAGGTCCCTGCCAACTACACATCTGCTTAGAAAGCTACATGTTAACATTATCTGTGTTCTATTGCATTTTTATTTATTTTGTCAAATATCTCCCAATTACAGCGAGTGTTGTGGCCCACGGGAGTTTGACGCCTCTACTCTAGAGGCCAAACTCTCCTCTCTTCTCCTTCTCTTTCCTCTCATCCGCCCTCCCTTGCCCTCATCTCCTCTCTTCTCTCTCTACACTTGGTGATTTCATCTCGCTCCCATTATCATCTCTACACGATGCCCAGATTTCACATCCAACCCTCTGTGGAGTTCCCTTCCTCCATTTCCAAACACCGATTAGACATTTCCAAGTGGATGTCCCATAGACACCCCAGATTCCACATGTCCATGCCGGAACTCCTTATCTCTCTGTCCACAGCGGCCCCTCGGTTCCCATTTGTTTTTTTTTTAATTATTAATTTATTTTGATTTATCAACAATCACGTCACAACACTCACAGCTTTTGAGTTTTAAATTTTTCTCCCCCTCCCGCTCCACTTCCTTCCCCAAGATGGTGAGCAATCTGATATAGGCTCTACATGCGGTTCCCATTTCTGTGGAAGGTCCGACCAACCTTCTGGTCCCCAGGCTCACAATCTCACCTCTTCCCTCCCAGTCACCTGCCTAAGCAATCGATGCCAAGTCAGGTTGTTTCTGTCTTGACAACATCTCTCACGCGCGTTCCTTTCTCTAATCACAGAGAGCTACCAACCTAAGTCAGGACCCAATTGGAACAGTCCCTTAATTGGTCTTAACACTGGCTGCTCTCAGAGGTATCCTCCACAGTTGCCAAAGTGATTTTCCCAAAGCCCTATCTTGTGATGTCACCACCTTACTGAATAAACTCAGATGGCTCCCTATTACCTCTAGGGCCAAATATACGATTTTCTGTTTGGCCTGTAAAGCCCTCTACCACCTGGCTGCGGTGCGCATTTCCAGGCTTATTAAATTACTCCTCTTTACAGTACAGAAGGGGCAGCTAGGTGGCACAGCGGATAGAGCTAGAGGGGGAAGATTCCTCTTCCTGAATTCAAATCCAGCCCCAGACACTTCCTAGCCATGTGACTCTGGGCAAGTCACTTCACCCTGTTTGCCTCAGTTTCCTCATCTGTCAAAGGAGCTAGAGAAGGAAATGGCAAACCATTCTAGTATCTCTGCCAGGAAAGTCCCAAATAGGGTCACAAAGAATCAACATGACTGAAAACCAATTGAACAAAAAACCGTCCAGAAGAAGGAGCTTTCTTGTTGTTCTTCACACATGACAGCTCATCTCTCATCACTGGGCTGTTGCCCAGGCAGTCCCACCTGCCTGGAATGCACTTCCTCCTCATCTTCTCTTTTTACAATCTCTAGTTTCCTTCAAAGCTTAGCTCCAACTTCACCTCCTACAGAAGGACTTTCACAATTACTCACAGCTGCTAGTGCAGCCAGGCTAAAAAACCCACTGGGTATTTTTTTCATGTATACTACGCATATGTTTATATGTGTGTATGTTGTCTCCCATGAGAGAATGTAAGCATCCTGAGGGCAGGAACGGCTTCACTTTTGTTTTGTTTCTCCAGCAACAAACCTGTTACCTGGCATACAGGAGGAGTTTAATAAATGCTTGTCGACTTATGGATAAAGTAATTTCATTGTTAAGATCCTAAATTTAGAGACAGAAGGGACCTCAGGGGCCAAGTCCAACCCCTTCATTTTATAGATGAGGAAACTGAGGCTCAGGAGGATTAAATAATATGCTTCTGATCACATAGCTAGGAAGTGTCAGAGACAGGATTTGAACCCAACTCAGAACTGTCCCTGTTCTAAGGTCTCTCTGAGCCCTGACATTCCCTGTTCTGAGACCCCTCCCAGCTCAGACATTCCCTGTTCTAAGGCCCCTCCCAGCTCAGACATTCCCTATTCTAAGGCCCCTCCCAGCTCAGACATTCCCTGTTCTGAGGCCCCTCCCAGCTCTGACATCCCCTGTTCTAAGGCCCCTCCCAGCTCAGACATCCCCTGTTCTAAGGCCCCTCCCAGCTCAGACATAATGGTGGCACAGTTGCTATAGCAATGGACCTGGGAGTCAGGCAGCCCTGAATTCAAATCCAACCTCAGACATGTATTAGCTCTGTGACCTTGGGCAAGTCATTTAACCTCTGTTTGCCTCAGTTTCCTATATATAAAATCAGGATTACAGTAGCACCTACTTCCCAGGGCTGTTGTAAGGATCCAAGGAGATAATATCTGTAAAAAAAATGCTTAGCACAGTGCCTGGTACACAGTAGGTGCCACATAAATGCTTATTTCCTTCCCCTCCCCCCAGCTCAGAGACCCTGAACTGAGACGACTGTTCTGTACCCCAAGGCTGGCACACTGGAAACCCTGGACAGAGGCAGCTTGGGCCACGTCAGCCGTGGCCCCAGGTTCCAATTTCAGGAGGGGTCCTACATCGGGGTAAGTACTACAGGGTCCGGCAGCCTCAGCAGGGCCCCTTGGCACATGGCCTAGCCCTGCTCAGGACCCTGGGGCCCTGTCTGGACACTCCAGCTCTTTTAAAAAGCCCTAGCCCGGCCTGGTTTTGTTTTGCTGTCCCATAAGGAGTCTCTTAACCTTTGAGGAAATAAAACCCAGATGTGGCAGGGTCCAGTGCTACCTGCAGGGCCTTTTGTTATTTTTGTTGCTGTTTTCTAAATCATCAAGCCTTCTCAGTTGATGATGAAAATTGTTTGGACGTGGAAAAACTAGGCTTCTAAGAGAGCTCTGTGGCCATGCCAGGGAGCAGCGCTGCCAGCCCGACGGCCTCTGGGTCTTCTATCCTGGTTACCTTTTAATGGGCTCCCCAGAGAATCACTTTCCACCAGCACAGAGAAGGTGCCCCGGGGCCAAGTGAGACTGAAATCTGGCTCCCAGCTACCTGCCAGGGAGCTCAGACTCCCAGCGACTCCCTGCCTGCCACAGCCAGAGTCCAAGACAACCGGACACTCTCAGCTGGGAGACAGAACTTCAGCCTCAACATCCTGAAGGATCAGGAGATGAATAAAATCACAGCATTTAGAGTCAAGCCAGAGGGGGCTTAGGAGAGGTCCAACTCATCTCCTTTTACAAGTGAGGAAACTGAGGCCCAGAGAGGGCCTGCCCACGGTCACACAGCGGCCAAGCTGGGGTTCAAATCCAGGTGGGTCAGAGTTCAGAGGGGGCCTTAGAAAACTGGCTTTCTTTGCATTTTTATTCAACAGTATTCCCCCTCCCCCCATCCCTTTCACTGGAGTTGAGACTAGGGAGCTCAGAGATCAGAATCCAGACTCCTCATTTTACAGAGGAGAAACTGAGTCTGGAAAGAGGCTAAGAGACCTGTCCTTTTCAGTTCTAAATCCTGTGACATTCACAGTCAAACTCAAAGTATCTCACACCCATGTGATCCTTACAAAGTTATTATATGATTAATTATTATTGCTTTTTATTTTACAGCTGAGGAAATTGAGAAGGGATGTGTCAAGGTCAGACAGGTAGTAAATGGCAGATTGAGATCTGAACTCAGGTCTTGCGATTTCAACTTTAGGTCTCTCCACACTGTACCCACACTGCCTCCCCAGAAAGCCGAGGGGATTAGAATTCATGCCACCCAAAGATCAGCTAAAGGAACTGGGTGTGTAGGGGAGAGAAATAAGAGAAGAATCCAAGGGATCCCGGATCTGGAGCGAGAAGGGACCCAGGGGATCATTAAATGCAACTCTCCTTTTATAGTTGAGGAAACTGAGGCACCATGATTTATTCAAAGGGATAGCAGAGGTAGGATTGGAACACAGGTCCTCTAACTCCAAATGCAGTTTTTAAAGAGATGTTTAGAAGGATTAGCTAAAGGGCAGCTAGGTGGTGCAGCGGATAGACCACTGGGTGTGGAGTCAGGAAGATTCCTCTTCCTGGGCTCAAAACTGGCCTTAGACACTTACTAGCCGTGTGACCCTGGGCAAGTCACTTCACTCTGCCTCAGTTTCCTCATCTGTCAAATGAGCTGGAGAAGGAAACAGCAAACCACTCCATTATCTCTGCCAAGAAAACCCCAAAAGGGATCATGAAGTGTGCCACAGGGACATTGCTCAAACACACATCTGATTTTGTCACTGCCCAGCTCAGTAAACTCCAGAGACTCCTTATTACTAAAGACTCTTCCACCAGGCATATGTGGCTCCGACTTACCTTTGCATCTTCATTAGCTAACAGTAGTAATAATTAACATTCACATCTGGCCACTAGGTGGCGCCATAGTGCACAGAGCTCCTGCTAAAAATACTCAAACCTTGCTTTTGAATTTTCCCCTCCAAACTGCCTGCTCCCCCCCCCCACCTCCAACCAAACACACCTCTCCTTGCTGGAAAAGTCCACTCCCAGCAGGACATTCTCTTCCGTGTCCTGTCGCCCGCTGCTGTACACCACTACCATGTACCTGACGCGGTCCGTCCACACACTCTCCAGGCGTACCGCCTGCAAGGAAGTAATGATGCAATCATGTCTTTTGGACAGGCCTGAGATATGAAGCAAACCAATCCAGTAAGTATTTACTAAGCCAAGCACTCTGCTAGGAGCTGGGAATACATGGACAAAAGGAAGAAAATCCCTGCTCTCTGGGAGTTTACATTTTACTAGAGTCTGCAACATACAACATTCAATTTAATTAGAATTTATTAAATGCTGACTATGTTTGGGGCTGGGGACACCAAGACATAACCAAAGCAATCCCTGCCCTCAAGAAACTTACACCCTAGTAGGAAGGCATAAAATGAATAAGATAAGACAGGAAACAATATGGTTTGCTGGAAAAAGCCACTGCTTCTAACTAGGGTTCAAATCATGCCTTTTACATCTATTAACTGGGTAACTCTTGAGTAACTCATTTAATATCTCTAAGCCTCAGTTTCCCTCATCTGCAAAATGAGAGATTTGTACTACATAACCTCTGAGTTCCTGTCCAGTTCTAGGTCTCCTATCCTATAAATACAGACACAATTATTTGAGGAATAGGGAATCACTAACAACTAGGGGATGTCATTTCCTTCTGCAAAATGTTATCATATGGAATTAGGAAAATTCATTTATTTATCTACCCATCCATCTATGTATTCATCCATCCGTCCATCCATCTATCCATACACTTTTCTATCCACTCATCTATCCACCAATCCATCCCCCATCCATCCTACCATTCACCCACCCTTCCTTCCATCCACCCACACATCCACCCCCTCACCCACCCACCCACCATTATTCAGATCTCCAGAATAAGCAAAGTTCCTTGCCAGGCTCTTGGGGAAAATGGACAAACTTGGCTTTGTTTCTCTCTTTTTTTCCTTTCATAGATTTGGAAATTGGAAATTCATACGAAATTTAAAGAGTGGAGATCATAATTAAATACAGTTTAAAAATAAGAAAGAAGTAAACAGGGAATCAGAAATCCTAGGATGCAGACTTGGCTCTGCTACTAACATCTTATCTAAACTTGGGCGATTTACTTTTTACTCTTTGGGCCTCAGTTTACCCACCTACAAAATAAAGAGATCTGGATCAGAGCAACGTTTCCCAGAATAATTTGGCCACCAAACATTTTTATGGTTGAAGTAAACTGATGGAAGGAGGGAAAGGGGACAAGCATTTTAATTGAGCATGTATTTTGTGCCAGGCACTGTGCTAAGTACTTAACAAAGATAATCTCATTTGATTCTCACAACAATCCTGGGAGGTAGGGGCTATTATTATTACTATTATTATCCCCATTTTACAGATGAGGAAACTGAAGCAAAAAGAAGTTAAATGAATTATGCAGGGTCACACAACTAGTACTTATCTGAGCTGGGATTAGAACACAGGTCTTCCTGAACCCAGGACCAGTGTGTTATTCAGTGAGCTACCTAGCAGTCTGATAAACAATGGTCTAGGGTGCCTTGAAAGCATAAATTAAAGGGGTTCGAGACCAAAAAATCGCAAGCTAAGCCTACTTTATAGCATTCAATCTAAGTGACTGCAGCTTGACCTATTTAAAGTTACTGGTGACAAAAAATGGGAAATGGATAAATGAAAGGACACTGACACAATAGGGTAGAAAAGTTTAACAAGTAAACAATGAAGCAAATAAAAGAGCATAAAAAACCATCTTAGTCAGCCAGCATTTGACCTCTTTGGTAAGGGGAGAAATACGGCAACAATGTTGAATGGTACGGATATAATTTCAAATTCAGCATTTTAGTCAGGAAAATAATGCTAATGTCCAAATTTCTTCACAAAGCAAAAACACCTGAGTTCCAAGGAAAACAATTTGGAAAATTCTGGAGTACAGAATTTCTAAGATTCCTTTCAATCGCAAAACTCTCTGCCTCCCAGTTCCCTGTTCTAAGGCCCCTCCCAGCTCTGACCTTCCCTGTTCTAAGGCCCCTCCCAGCTCTGACCTTCCCTGTTCTAAGCACCCTCCCAGCTCTGACCTTCCCTGTTCTAAGGCCCCTCCCAGCTCTAACACTCCCTGTTCTAAGGCCCCTCCCAGCTCTGACCTTCCCTGTTCTAAGCGCCCTCCCAGCTCTGACCTTCCCTGTTCTAAGGCCCCTCCCAGCTCTGACCTTCCCTGTTCTAAGGCCCCTCCCAGCTCTGACAGTCCCTGTTCTAAGGGCCCTTCCAGCTCTGACATTCCCTGTTCTAAGTCCCCTCCCAGCTCTGACAGTCCCTGTTCTAAGGGCCCTTCCAGCTCTGACATTCCCTGTTCTAAGCGCCCTCCCAGCTCTGACATTCCCTGTTCTAAGGTACCTCGCAGCTCTGACATTCCCTGTTCTAAGGGCCCTCCCAATTCTGACCTTCCCTGTTCTAAGCACCCTCCCAGCTCTGACCTTCCCTGTTCTAAGCGCCCTCCCAGCTCTGACCTTCCCTGTTCTAAGGCCCCTCCCAGCTCTGACCTTCCCTGTTCTAAGTCCCCTCCCAGCTCTGACATTCCCTGTTCTAAGGGCCCTTCCAGCTCTGACATTCCCTGTTCTAAGGCCCCTCGCAGCTCTGACATTCCCTGTTCTAAGTCCCCTCCCAGCTCTGACCTTCCCTGTTCTAAGGCCCCTCTCATTTCTTAGGTTCTATGATCACCGTTCCAGCTTGTTCTGCATCATTCTCAGGAGTGTCAACATGTTCTTTCAGCTGTTCCTACTGAGTCTTCGTGTAAAAGTGCTCAGGATGACATCACTGAGGTTCTCTTTCTCTGCCCTGAGCTATTCTAGAACTCATACAGGGGCACATGGAAGGCCCAACTAGAGTCTGGCATCAAGCAGCACTGTCCTCTCACTTCCCCAGGGTTCCAAGACCCCATCTCAAAACTTCCTGTCAATTCCCCCTTTCCTTCTGGTTGGACATTGATATCCATATTCCTTACCACTGTCAGAAGGACCCCAGAATCCTTGCTCCATTCCAAATCTTGGGCCCACTCTCCCTTTCCCAAGGTGGCAGGCCAATCCCCTTTAGGTTCTCTATACAGCAGAGCAGGAATCCCAACACACACAAAGAGTTCCTGGGTCCTGCTATCTCCCTCATGGACGCTTAATCAGGGCCTTGGGATCTTGCCATCTTTTCATCAGAACTTCCCTTACATGTTGATTCTCTCTCTGTTAGAGTATGAGCACCTTGAGAAAGGGAATGTTTGGGGGTTTTTTTTCCTGTCTGAAATCACAGCATTTAACAATGTGCTTAATATGTAGTAAGTCATTAATAAATGCTATTTCAACCATTCACCCACTCATCCAACTAGTCAGCCATCTCATCCATCTATCCATCTGATTTGGCCATCTGTCTATCCATCCATCTATCTTATCCATTCATGCATTCATCTGACCATCTATTTATCCATCCATCTTATTCATCCACTCATTTATTCATCCATCCATCTAGTTATCTATTCAGCTTATCCATCCATCCACCCATCTGTCTTAGCCATTCATTCATTTCAGCTCCTTTCCCATCAAAATGGGTAAATTCCCACTTTGACCAGCTTTTAATTTAACTTAATTTTTATTTGATATCTTTTTGTTTTCACTTCAGCCATTTGTGGACAACCCACCTCCCACTCCCCCAATGAGACTTTCCTTATAGCAAAGAAGAAAAGAAAACAGTTTAGCAAAAGAAATGGACCCAAATGACAAGTGATCAGTTTTTGTGAAGGGAAATCTCTCTGTGGGTTAAGGCTTGTGTCCCTCAATGGCTCAGACCAACATCCCCCACCAAGGACTCAGCTGCAAGGAATCCTGTCAATCTGGGACCTCTGCTCACCACCCAATTACGTCTTCTTACCAGTTTGATTCTATCTTCACAACGAAGAAGGTTGATCATTACTTGAAGATGTTGGGGCAAGTCACCTATGGGACCCACAGAAAGAGGGTTTAGAAAGATAGAAAGTCATGGGCCACAGATAAGAGAATGATCTCATGGCCAACCCCCAGACCTGAAATGCCAACCTATCCCCTCCACCCCCCAACCATTTCTACCTGTTACTGAGATTCTAATGAACTTACATTTTAACAAAACACTTTTCACAACCCTGGGAGGTAGGGTACAGATGGTGTTACTATCATTGTTTTATAGATGAGGAAGCTGGGGCTCACACTGGAGCCAGTAAGGGGCAGAGCTGGGATCCATACCTAGGTCTCCTGATTCCAAATTCAGCACTCTTTCCACTACATCATTGAGGCCTCACCTGTTTAAATTCTTCCTATACTTCAAGGCTCACCTTAGGAGTACCATTCCCCTCTCTGAAGCTTTCCTTAATGTCTAAACACTGGGCCCCCATACTCATCACATCTTTCTTTTTTTTTTTTGGCAATTGGGGTTAAGTGACTTGCCCAGGGTCACACAGCTAGTAAGTGTCAAGTGTTTGGTCTGCGGCCAGATTTGAAGTCAGGTCCTCCTGACTTCAGGGCCGGTACTCTATCCACTGTGCCACCTAGCTGCCCCATCATCACATCTTTCCAGAGAGAAGTCAAATACCCTTCTCAGAATTTTCATTGGATTTCAGAATTGGAGTGGGGAGAGACTCGAGGGAAGCAGGCAGACCCCCTAGCTGCTGTTACAATAATCCAGATGTGAGGTGATGAAAGCCTACACCAGAGTGAGGGCAGCTCAGAGGAGAGAAGGGTGTATGTTAGAGAGATGCTGCACAGGTGAAACTGATGAGAGATGCTGATTGACCAGGGATACTGCACAGGTGAAATTGACAAGAGATGCCGCAAAGGTGAAATTGATGAGAGATTCTGATTGACAAGAGGTGCTGCACAGGTGAAATTAACAGGCCTTGGCAAAAGATTGGATATGGGGATGAGAGAGAATGAGGAATCCAGGATGTCTCCTAGGTTGGGAGCCTGAGGAATTGAAAGGATGGTGGTACCCTCGATAGTAATAAGGAAGATAGGAAAGGGAGGGTTTGGGTGGAAGAGAATAAGTTCTGCTTTGGATGTGTCAAGTTTAAGCGTCTACTGGACATCTAGTTTGAAACACCTGAAAGGCCACTGTAGATGCGAGACTGAAGGTCAGCAGAGAAACTGGGACAGGAAAGGGAGATTTGAGAATCATCAGAATAGAGATGGTAATTCAATTCATGGGAACTGATGAGATCACCAAGTAAAGTAGTATAGAGGGAGATAAGAAGAGGGCCTGGGACAGACCCTTGAAGGACACCTATGGTTAGAGGACATGATCTGGAGGAGGATCCAGCAAAGGAGACTGAGAAGGAGCAGTCAGAGAGGGAGGAGGAAAACCAGGACAGAAGTGCCCTGAAAACTTAGAGAAAAAAGAGCATTAAGGAAGAGTGATCAACAGTTTCAAAGGCTGCAGAGGTCAAGGAGAATGATGATTGAGAAAAGGCCATTGGATTTGGCCACTAAGAGATCATTGGTAACTTTGAGAAAGCAGTTTCAGTGGAAATATGAAGTCAAAACCAGAATTTAAGGGGTTAAGGGGGGGGGAGAGGAGGGAGAGAGAGGGAGAGAGAGAGAGAGAGAGAGAGAGAGAGAGAGAGAGAGAGAGAGAGAGAGAGAGAGAGAATGGAGGCTCCTATTATAGAGAGCCATTTTGAGGAGTTTAGCTATAAAGCCATAGGACAATAGTTATCAGGTATAAAAGAATCAAGTGAGGGTTTTTTGAGGATGGAGGAGACATGGGCACGTTTGTAGGCAGTAGGCAGCAGAGAGAGAGAGAATGAAAATAAGTGAGAGTGTGGAAGACAGAGGGGGCAATCTGTTGGAGGAGACAGGATAGAATGGAGTCACTTGAACGAGTAGAGGAGTTAGCCTTGTTAAAGGGTAAGGCCATCTCATCATGTGACATGGGGTGGAGGAGATGGTGGCAGATAATTGATAGGAGATGAGGAAGAGGGGAAAAGAGGGAGTTCACGGCAAATGCTTATTTTTTTCTGGTAAAATAAGAGGCAACAGGTACTAATTGAGAGGGTAAAGGGAGGGGGGACTCATGGGAGGTTTGGAAGACCCACTATAGAGAGTGAAAGAGTGAGATGATAAGAAAGGCAGAGTAGTAGGACTGCTGAGCAGCACTGAGGACCCAGCTGAGGTTATGTAACATAAATCTATAGAGGGCCCACCATGTATCAGACGGCCTACAGATACTGTTTCATTCATCTTAATAACAGCGGCCTGCCATGCATCCCCTCCTGGAATGCTCTTCCTCTGAGAATCTCCCCAGCTTCCTCCAAGGCTTGGCACACACGTGCTGCCTCCTACAGGGAGTCCTCCCTGATTGCTCTGGTCACTTTCTCCCTCCTTATCAGAGCAGGACCTCAGCTGGAATCTTGACTTTTGTAACCCTGGGCATGCCATTCAAGTTTTTGGGCCTCAGTTTCCCCAAAAAGAGGGGATTGGACTTGATGGCCCTAGGTTTCCTGCTAATTGTAAATCTATGATTCTATCCTGTGTTTATAGGCTGTATGCCCCAAGAAGAAAGTCAGCTCCCCCAAGGCTGGGGTTCCTTTTAGTTTTGTCTTTGTATCTCTAATGGGATGCTAGGAGGCGCCATGGAGCAGGAAGACTCATCTTCCTGAGTTCAAATCTGGCCTCAGACACTTACTAGCTGTGTGACCCTGGGCAAGTCACTTAACTCTGTTTGCCTCAGTTTCCTCAACTCTAAAATGGGGATGATAATAATAGCATCAACCTCTCAGAGTTGTTGAGAGGATCAAATGAAATAATAATTGTAAGCATTTCGTGCAGTACCTGGAACATAGTAAGTGCTATATATATGTTAGCTATTATTATTAATTAAGAATTAAAGCTCTATTTTGACTTTAGGGAGAGCCTGTATACAAAAACACCCCCTGTTCCCCCCATATATTGAAAGCATACATAGATTTGCATGTTTATGTGTTCCAAAAGTCTTAATGTCATTTACATGTACCTGCAAACACACATGTGTACATACACACAATACATATATTATGTACATGTGTATGTGTATATATATGTATGTGTGTATATGTAAGTATATATGAATGAAGGCACGTACATATACATATGTAGATGACATATGTAGAAGGCACACATAACAATTTTCACGCTCCAATGTATATTATAAGGAAAAAGAGGTTCAAGAAAAGTACTGTAGGGTATTCAAGGATGGGAATCACAGGACTATGGATTTAGAGCTAGAAGGGACCTGACACACCACTGAGTCCAAATTCCTCTCCCATTTTACAGACAAGGAAACTGAGGACCAGACATGTTAAGTGATTTGTCAAGGCTTATAAGTAGTTGTGGCAGGATTGGAACCCAGGTCCTCTACCCATTCTGCCATGTTATCTCTCAAGTTCATACAGGATACTCAAATGTCATTTCTTGCTTCAAAGGAAACATGGAGAAACCACGTGTTATCAGGCCTCACACTGCAATGATATCATCTCATAATGATATCTCCTAGAATCATAAGATTTAGGACCACAGATTAAGAAGGCTGCAAGAGGCTTTTCAAGGGTCAAAAAGTCCTTCCTTTTCTTTTCTTTCTTTTTTTTTTTGTGAGGCAATCAGGGTTAAGTGACTTGCCCAGGGTCACACAGCTAGTAAACCTTCCTTTTCATTTTACAGATGAGGAAACTGAGGCCTATAACTTGTGAGGGGTGACCACTGTGTCTTGGGTAGGAGTCAAACCCAGGCCTTCCTGACTGCAAATGCAGGTGCCTTGCTACTATATCAATGCTATGAAGCTCCTGACTTACCTCTAGCTACCCCCAAATGACCACAAGCAAGTGGCTTTACCTATTCCTTATCCAGAGACAGGCCTGGCCTCACTTCTACCTTATAACCCTTAAATTCAGTAGAAGTGACTACTGATGGCCATGATTCAAGAAATTATAGAGTGGAGTGAGATAAAAACTAATAGGAACTGCCCACCTCTGCCCAGCCCAACACTTGACAAATGGTTTCACACAAGGGATATTTTCCATATGGATAAAATTCTTTCAGTGGGTTGTTGGCTGATTTATGGAAGTGCTGACAGATGGAAATCCCAGCCCGAGCCTGGTCCCCACGCTCAGTCTTTGTTATTCTGAGGTGTTTACTGAGTACCAGGCATACAGAGCTCCACACTGGGCTCCCACCACAGGATTCTCTGGGTGCTCTCAAGGTCTCTGGCCCTCTTTCCACCAAGTGAGTTGACCCTTGGTTCCTTAAGTCAAAGGCAGAGAAGGGAATGGGCCATAGGCCTCTGGATCCCAGGTTTCTGGCCATTCTCAGTTGACTGGACTTTGATCACAAAGGAGGAAAGGATCTCAGAGACTACTTGTACCCCAACAAAAATCCCCTCTATGGTACCCCTGAAAAAGGTGATGGGAGCACACGGCCCCCCAAGGCAGCCGATGTGCTTGGGGACAACAGCTCCGTTAGGAAGGTTTTCTTGACATCAAGGCTAAATAATAACAGATTGCATTTTTTTAGCCTTTAAGATTTATAAAACACTCAACAAATGCTGATCCTCATAACAATCCTGGGTGGGGGAGTGCTATCGTTATTCCTACTTTACAGATGAAGAAACTGAGTCAGAGGGAGAAGTGACTTCCCCAAGGTAACACAGATGGTGCTGGATTTGAACTCAGAATTTCCTGACTCTAGGTCCTGTATTCTACCCACAGGGAATATTTCTCCTGGCTGTTTTGTGATGCAGTGGAAAGAAGGTGGATCAGTGACCTTGTGTGACTTTGGGCATCACAGGCTCATAGCATCATGAACCTTTCATCTAATTCAATGTCATCATTTTATAAATGAGGAAACTGAGGCAAGGCAATGGAGAGAGAAATGGCGCTGGCCTCTGGAAGACCCGAATTCAGATCTGGCTTCTGACACTTCCCGGGTTACCCTGGACAAGTGACCCGGGGCTGGCTTGTCTGGGCTCTATTGAGGTTCCTCCTCCATAAAAGGAGACCTTGGGCCAGACGGCCTCTAAGCTAGGATCCCACGGGACCACGTGCGTGACTGATGTCTTCTGTACACCTGGGGAAGCAGGAGAATGATGATAGCCTGGGGCCGAGCATTTACCTGCGTGCTTGTGGGGCTGCTGGAGGCTCCTCGGTCCTTGGGCGCTGTTTCCCTGTTGCAGGAAGAGAGCAGCGCCTTTCACCATGAAAAAACTCTCACTGAGGCTGGAAGACATAAAAAACAAAACAAAACACCCTAATTAGTCAATCTGCCCCAAGACACAGCCCTGGCGCCAATGCAGGGGGATGCCTACGAAGGAAAGATCCGGGCCTGAAAGGTAAACCAGTGGCCCCCATCCACAGCCCAGGCCCAGCCTTCCAGGATAACCTCCCTCCACTCCCACCTCATAATCGCCAAGTTTAGAGAGTACCCAACCATCTTTTACATCCATTAACTGCATATGAGCCTCGGAACTGCCTGTGTGGTCAAGAACACAAATCTTCAGCATCCTCATGAAACAGGTGAGGAAATTGAGGCTCAGACAGGGATAGCAACCTGCCCAAGGTCACCTAGTTAGTAAGTTAGGAAAATGGTTGGGATTTGAACTTGGGTCTCCTGACCTAAACTCAGCTCTTCCCTGTTGCCCCATATAGCCAACGTTTCATGGACTGGAGAGTGCTAGAGCTGAGCTGCCTGGTTCTAGACGTTCCAGGTTGGAGTCTCACGTCATTGGGAAGTGAGGTATGAGCCACATAGTCAATTTGGAGGCAGAGGTCCTGGGTTCAAGTCTTGGTGACCTTGGGGAACTGGTAATGTTGTAGTTGGCAATTAATCAATTAATCAACCAATATTTATTATGGAGTTAGATGACACTGTGGATAGAGGGTAAGACTTGGGATCTCAAAGATATTTACTAGCTGTGTGATCCTGGGCAAGTCACTTTACCTCTGTCTGGCTCAGTTTCCCCATCTGTAAAATGGGGATAATAGCACCTACCTCCCAGGGTGGTTGTGAGGATCAACTCAGATAATCTTTTTTTATTTTTTTAGGCAATTGGGGTTAAGTGACCTGTCCACGGTCACACAGCTAGTAAGTGTCAAATGTTTCGTCTGAGGTCAGATTTGAACTCAGGTCCTCCTGACTCCAGGGCCAGTGCTCTATCCACTGTATCACCGAGCTGCCCCAAATGAGATAATCTTTGTAAGGTACTTTGTAAACCACAAAGTATTATATAAATGCAAGTTACTATGTTATTTTGATATTATTATCATTGTTGTTGTTGTCACATATAATGTATGTAATCTATACTAGGCAGCCAGGCTTGGAGTCAGGAAGACCTGAATTCACATCTGGCCTCTGACAATTACTGGCTGTGTGACCCTGGGCAAGTCACTCTGTCTGCCTCAGTTTGCTCAACTGTAAAATGGAGATAATAGCATCTACCTCCCAGGGCGGATCAAATGAGATAAACTTTGTAAAGGTCTTAGTACAATGCCTAGCACATAGTAGGGGCTGTATATGTACCCTCTTCTCCCTCACGTACCTGCTATGTGCCAGGCACTGTGCTAGGCGGTACAGACACAAATACAATGAATGAAATAATCCCTACTGGGATCTAACTTATGGGATCCAGGACCTGGCTTTGACAAGGCCACAGACAGAAAACATACAGGGCAGGATGTACTGGAAAGAGGAATGGCTTGGGAGTCAAGGGACCAGAGTTCAAATCTCACATGGGATGCTTGACTACCAGTGGAATCTTGGGCAAGTCCCAATCTCCCTGGGTCTCAGTTTCCCCATTTGTAAAATGAAGGGGTTTGATTAAACGGCCTTCCAGCTCCAGACCTATGACGCTGCAAACTCCTGGCCTTACGTTCCTCATCACCTAAATCTGAGCCCATCTGCAGACGAGTCTGTGCTCCCAAACGTACAGTGGAACTTTGTCTCATGAAGCTGGAAGCTGATTGCAAGCTTTGGGAGAACAAACTAGCTCATATCCCTGACTGAGTCATCACTTTGGAACTGCAAGGACCTTGAGACGCCACATCTGTAATAATACAGATGGAGAAAATGAGGAAAAGGGAAAGGGGGAGAGGAACGTCCATGGAGGTCGGGAGCAGAGCTGGGAGCGAAGTGAATGTGGATGGCCTGGGCACCCTCTGGGAGGGAGCCTGGAGGCAGAGGCCTCTCCGGGGTGAGGAGGCTGCCGGGCCAGGGGTGAGGAAGTCTGGGGAGTCACACTTGACTACTCTACATACGTTTGTATTGAGTCACTCTACACTGAGGCTGTATGTATTTCTATAGGTCCTTGCTATCTTCTCCTTTAGAATGTAAGCTTCATGCTTGTGTGAGTCCCAGTGAGACGACTGGTGAGGCCAGCGCCGAAACCGAGGCCCCCAGACACAGATCAACCCACAAGCATTTAAGTGCCTACATAATTGTGTTAGACCCCGAAGACGGATGTACAAAAAGGAGGCGGTCCTGGCCCTCACGCAGCATATTCTCCATGAGAGGAGCCATAAGTCCAGAGCTCGGCACAGTGCCTGGAATACAGTAGGTGCTTCATAAATGTTTACTGATTGACTGTACACAGACAAGGGTATACAAGAAACCATATACAGCGTCATTAGGGGGAGTACCTCATCAGACCATATGCCTTGAAGCTAAAGCGGCTTCAGTGAATGTTCAGCACAGCATCAGTCTATGTAAAGCTTCAGGCGAAGATTTCAGACAGAGAATTCGAATTTCAGCAGACATAAAGATATCTGTATACAAAGAGAGTCTGAAAAGAATTCCTAGCCCAATGCTTCAGTGCCTACTGTTTTATGTTCTAAACTACCAGCTCTGACATTCCCTGTTCTAAAGCCTCTCCTGGCTCTGACACTCCAAGTTCTAGGGGCCCTCCCAGCTCTGACATTCCACGTTCTAAAGCTTCTCCTGGCTCTGACATTCCCTGTTCTAAAGCCTCTCCTGGCTCTGACACTCCAAGTTCTAGGGGCCCTCCCAGCTCTGACATTCCATGTTCTAAAGCTTCTCCTGGCTCTGACATTCCCTGTTCTAAAGCCTCTCCTGGCTCTGACACTCCAAGTTCTAGGGGCCCTCCCAGCTCCAACATTCCATGTTCTAAAGCCTCTCCTGGCTCTGACACTCCAAGTCCTAGGGGCCCTCCCAGCTCCAACATTCCATGTTCTAAAGCCTCTCCTGGCTCTGACACTCCAAGTCCTAGGGGCCCTCCCAGCTCTAACATTCCACGTTCTAAAGCTTCTCCTGGCTCTGACATTCCCTGTTCTAAAGCCTCTCCTGGCTCTGACATTCCAAGTCCTAGGGGCCCTCCCAGCTCATTACATGATTCCACATAATGGGAATGAGAGATCTTGGCTGCAGCTGGCCCCAGGGTGTTCCCGTTATAGTACAAACAATTTGCCATACAGAAGGTCTTACTCTTACTGCAGGAGACAAAACAGCCTCCTTCTCCACCCCCCCTCCCCCGCCCCGCCATATGTCTTCACCGACATTCTAGCAGTCTTCATACTGGACTGTGTAAGTAGGGAAATCTTGGAAGAACAGTCCTACCCGCTTTGTGGGCCAAGCTGCCTGCTCAGGGAAGAGATAAAGAAAGCTCCAGCCATTTAAAAAGGACAAGGAGTTCTTTCCATCCCAAGGCTTCCACAAAGACAGACATCTAAAATAAAAGATCTGAATTCTAAGAATGAACAGAAGCTGTGGGGTCGGGGGAGAAGAGCAGGAGGCTTGGAGCCAGGGGCACGAGGCTCCAAATGCCACCTCTGACACCTTCTGTCAGACTCTCAGCTTCCTCATCTGTAAAATGGGAATAAAAAACACATTCACACTACCTTAAATTCCAGGGGATTTTTTTTTCTCCTTCAGTAAATGCTTTGAAACCTTCAAGGGCTAGAAAGAGGTAGCTACCATTAGCTAAAGGTCACCTTGCCTCAAAAATCTTCTGTGTTACCCTGTCTGGAATTTAAAGCCCTTCACCACTTGGCTCCAAGTCCATCTAAGCTTACTGCAGATTAGCAGATACAGCGCAAGGCCTGGGGTCAGGAAGACTCATCTTCATGAGTTCAAATATGACCTCAGACACTTATTCACTGTGTGACCTTGGGCAAGTCACTTCACACTGCCTGCCTCAGTTTCCTCACCTGTAAAATGGGAGTGATAACAGCCCCTAGGTCCCAGGATTGTTGTGAAGATCAAATGAGATAATTATAAAGTGTTTACGGCACACAGTAAGCACTACGTAAATGCTGGCTGGTATATACATATATATTCATACACTCTCTGGTTGAGCCAAACCAGCCTCCTTACTGTCCTCTATGTACAACGCGCCTGCCTCCCCACGCCTCAGAATCCCTAGCTCCCTTTATTTTTTAATTAATTTATTTTTAGTTTTCAACATTCACTTCCACAAGCTTTTGAGTTTTCCATTTTCTCCCCCTTCCTCCCCTTCCCCACTCCCAAGACGGCATGTAATCTGATATAGGCTCTATATACACATTGCTATAAAACCTATTATCACATAAGTCATGTTGTAAAGAATAATTAGAACCAATGAAAGGAATCACAAGAAAGAAGACACAAAACCAAACCCTAGCCGCCTTTAAGCCCAGCTCCGGTGTTAACTCTACAAGAAGCCTTTGGGGATTCCCCCACCTGTTAGCATTTCACCTCTCCGAAAATTACTTGTATTCATTTTCTCTAGATTTTCTATGTAGGTGGCACAGTGGCTAGAGCGCCGGGCCTGGAATCAGGAAGACTCAACTTCCTGAGTTCAAATCTGGCCTAGACACTTACTTGCTGTGTGACCCTGGGTGAAGTCACTTACTTCACCCTGTTTGCCTCAGTTTCCTCATCTGTGAAATGAGCTGGAGAAGGAAATGGCAAACCACTCCAGCATCTCTGCCAAGAAAACCCCAAGTGGGATCATGAAGAGTCGGACTCGATTGAAAAACAACTAGACAACAACACACATGTGTGGCCCCCCCATTCCACCCCATCCTCTATAGTAGATTATAAAATGGGGGGGGGTGTCAGGGGGAGGTCTCCATCATTGGGAGTCATCAAGACAAGGATCAATGATGACCCATCACAGATGCTCTTAAGGGCAGTCATGCTCCAGGGCCAGGTTAGACGAGATGAGATGCCTTCCATCTCTGGCCCTAAGGCTCTAATCTACAAAGTTAGATCTAAACTTATTATGTGA